CCCACTCATGTATCCCCCCCTCCCCCCTCCCCCCCCCCCCCCCCAAAAAAGAATAAACATTTCGAAGATCCAGTTCTCGTTCCTTACCTCTCTCTCTCTCTCTGCAATCGCATTCTGTCACTGTCACTGTCATGGTGGTGGGTGGTGGTGGGTGGGTGGTGATATCGATACGTCTAGTGACACTCACTCACGTCTAAATCCTCTGTCTGGGCCGACTGGGTAGGTACTTACTTACCTGTCGACATGGGCCCAAGCAAACTAACTCTACCAAGTTACATAACACCTCGCCTACCTGTAGATAGACATGATATTAGACGATATCCGATTACCAACGTCCTGTCTTGCGTCTCCGCCTCCGTCTTCACATAAACATAGGCCGGCCCGTGAGGATTCTCGATTCCCCGCTCCCAAGGGCAACAATGCAGCTGGGGAGGTGAAAAGGATGTACAGAGTAAAAATGCAAGCTGGGAACCAGGGCAAGCCCAGAGAGGACCCGTTGCAAGAGACGAGAATTCGAGACGGAGGTGAATGTCCGGACTCAACACGCATTGATCCGCGGGCTCATCCGCAGGTAACCGTGTCACCACCCCCCCCCCCATACCACTTAGACAAATCAATAGTACAGTAAGGAGGTGAGTAATGGCGTACCACAACGTTAGGAACCGACCATGCCGCTCCCTTACATAATAAGACTTGCGATGTGAAAGTTTCTCCAAGACTTGCGATGTGAAGTTTCTCCACTTGAGACTTGAGCTAAATGGTTCACCGCCAGATGCCACTCCTTGTGTTCTTACAACGGCCCGAGAATCGGGGACGCTACCGAATACAAGCAGCGAGTCTATCCTCGGCGCCTGCGTACCCGCGGCAGCGAGGCAGATAATGAGCTCACCGTTCCACTCACAACTGTTGCCAGCCAATCCATTTCTCTCCCTCGACGATAAAGGTTACACCACCTGTTGGGAGGCCAAGCGTCTGAGCATACCTATTGAACTAGGTCCGGTTGTTGAGTAAAAGAAATTAAAATTGCATATTTGAAAGTAGCCTCTTCAAGACATAATGAGGGCGCGGCGAGATTTATTATAGTTCGTGCTACTTGCCACGTCGCGGCACGCGACGAGCCGTCGAAAGATCGGACCCAAATTGCGCAGAACTCAGGGACGTGTACGGAATAGCTTCCTTCTGCATCGCAGATTGAACTCTAAGCGGCCAGCGCAGTACCAGGAGTCTCGAATGGCTAAGATTTTTTTTTGGGAAGTGATAATGCGGATAGCCGGAGATAATGTTCGTGTTCTTCTATGTCAGAAGGAGCGGTGACTTCAGCCAAGCGAGAGGGCCCTAAATTTGTGAGGTCAACTCCCACTATTAGAATATTGTAGACTTGCAGAGAAAGCCTCTTCTTGACGATAGATTGATCTGCCATCTGCTGCCGTGGTACATGAAGTAGTTGTACCGGCACATAATGTGTACAGGGAGTAAGCCTGCAATCACAAGCAGGTCCCAGCAACCAGATATTCGGAATGAGAAGCGTCAGGGCGATTTTGTGTTTCCGAAGACTCGCATCTTCGACCGACGCATGACCATACTTCGTAATGGGGTTTGAAACTGCCTTTGGGTCTAGTTGATTGCCGATGCAAATTTGATCCCGTTGCCATTAGGGCTCCTCAATCCTTTGACCTTTGCGGAGAAACTAAACGCTTAGTTGAGCATGATTGGAACCCATTACTGTAGCACTGACGCTGAACGCTGAAGGTTCTCCCGCGGGCTGAGTGTGGCACGAGCGCTATGTACCTTGAGCGCCAGGAATCAATATATGGAGGAGGATGATTCGTCCAGTAACCATTGATCCAAGTCTTGGATCCATAATCTTTGAGTTGCGAAAGACATGGAAATTGCTGGTTGTCATCTCCCAGTTGTCCTTTAAGGAAAACAAGGGCTCTGCGATAGTTGACGAGCTCAACGTTTTGAAATGGATAGGGAATTCCCGATCATTTCCCTGTTTTGTTTTGACTTCCACGGGAGAGCTCCGGGTAACCATTCTAATTAAGCACTGTGGAGGTGTGAGGAACCTCTATCCCTTTGCTCTCTTTTGGATCCGGCCATGAGCTCTGGTTGGAAAGTTGACGGGCACATCCCGTTGGCCTTTGGGCTACACGATGGAGGAATCCAAGAACCAATGGCCGAGAGAGAGGAGTTTTAGGATACCCCAGTAGCAACAGGCCCCCGACTTTTCCACCAGTGTTTATACCCGCTCTTCATCGCTCCACTTTCCAACGATCAGTGTCAACAAGACGTGCCCGTCTTTCACGAAACAAAGAACGGCCCCAAGGCAACGCAACAGCTTTACAGCCTCCTCCACGCTCAAGATGGCAAGGTGGAATCTTCCCTCTTTCGAACTCTAACAAGCGACGCTGACGAGCCTTCCAGCGCTCCAGAAGATGACCGTGAAACAGTTAGTGAGAAACAGACATCCCCTTAAAGCCTCGAACAGTCTGCACAGCATTGGAAAGCTCGTGAGTCCGGGACATAGTCAGAGATAGCGGCTATCCTGTCAGTCTGGCTCAAAGAAGGCCAAAAGTGGGCGAGAGGACCTTCTCGCTGACGCAAAACGGAAAAGACATTCGAAGTCGAATGTGACTATCAGAAACAAGGATAGGCAGATGACTGATTGAGAGCTGCTCAAGGATAGGAAATTGAACTTGAAGGTACTGATGAAATAAAGTATGTGGAGCTGACTGAAAGCAGGTCCCGGTTGACAACAGCTTCCTCGAAACAGAAACACACTACAACCGAGAGTATCAATCTTATGCCATCAACAACAGCGCCTATCTGGCCCCTATTGACGATGTAAGTACTAGTTTAGTTTCAAATGTAAAATCGCATAAGCTGACCAGACACAAGGAAGAAATTGAGCGTCTGAACATCTTCCACAACGTCCTTAGTCGTGTCTTCGATGGCCGAATCATAGTTCCCCCCTTAGGTCGACCCCGGCGTATACTGGACTGTGGATACGGAACTGGAGCATGGGCATGTGAGGTCGCTGAACAGCACCCGAGGTGTGAGGTGAGATCTAGATCGTTGTTTGTCGGCTTGAAGGAGAAGGCATTCGAAGCACCGAGGTTTGGTTTGTTGATGTCGACCGCGAAGCGAGCATGGATCTTTGGAGACCAACTCCTTGTCTTTTGCGTATGCTAATCCATATTCGCGGAAGCAGGTCCTGGGAATCGATATAAACCCAATGATGCAACCGGACGAGGTTCCAGACAATCTCTATTTGCAAGTCGATGACTTGAACCGGAGGTGGGATCCAACATGTCGCAACCTATACAAGAATCCGTAACTGAGTGTGTGATTTAGATTCACGTTCCCAGCTCATAACTTCGACAGTAAGATATTTGGGGGTCACATTCGTTCCACTTTCTTCCACTCTGGTCCCTCGAGACTGTCAAATTTCTTACCGAAGCATCCGTATGTGGCAAGTACTGACTGTCCCGTTATACAGTGGTACACTCTAGTATGGTTGCCGGAGGAATCCACATCAACATGTGGACTCAATATCTCCGGGAAATAATCCGAGTAGTTAGACCAGGTGGCTGGGCACAGATGGTCGAGATATACCTCAACTTCCAGTCAGATAATGGCACCCTGACAGACGGTGAGTCTTTTGGAAGCTGCTAAGAATTGAAACTGCTGCTGACCGTTGTCTTCAAGATCATGCCTTGAGACAATGGAGTGCTAGGTATCTCGAAAGCATGGAAGGCCTGAAGGATCCCCGCGTGGCACTCAGGCTCCCAGACATGATGAGAGAAGCTGGATTCGTGGAAATTGAGCATCGAATGGTACGGCTTCCCACTTGTGGATGGTCTATGGATCAGAGAGACAATGAGATTGGAACGGCCAATCGCGAGAATGTCCAGAGGATGCTCTCCTCGCTGGCGCTCTACCCCTTCACGGAAAGGCTCAAGTAAGATTTGAGAGACTATAGTCCCCCCCTCGATACTTTGTATGATCTGACATAGAGCCCGATAGCATGCCTATTCAAGATGTCCAGTTGCTCATAGCGCAAGCACGCCAGGAAGCAGACGATCCGGCGTTCAAGGTATTGATCTTCCCCGCTGATGATGTGGTACTATTGTTGATGTGTTCTCCCAGGCATATTTCCCACTCTACGTCTGCATCGGTCGCAAGTCTCACACCAGAAGATGATCTCCAGGCAATAATGACTCATGGCGGTATGGTTATGATTGTGTTGTGATAATCTCTTGCGATGTTCGGCCCGGGCCAGATTTGACAAGGAGACGACTACGATGGCCTTCCTAACTTTGCCTTTTTTTTTTCAAAGACAAGATTGACACCATGAATCGATGACGAGACGCAGTGAGCGCGTGGAGAAGGTTTGGCAGGCCATAGTTTCGTCTGGATGGCGCAATTCATCGATTTCCCCAGTTGCACCTTCGGATTTGGTTCCAACAAGCATCACGAACAGAGGCCACAAGCCAAGATCACAGATAGCCGTCCTGTTGAGGCGGTCAAGCGGTTGCTTTTCAGTGTAGCAATTGCACCTGATATGGTAAAGAATTGCATGCCCAGGTTTGACGCGGTCCTATCTCGTTGAAGTAAAAGTGATCGACACTATTGCCAGCTTGTCTCCATCATGGCCACCAGCTTCTCAGTGCCCGTCCAAAGTGGACTTGTGGCACTGGAGCATAGCTCAGCGTAGTCTGCGGTGCAAGTGGTGTTTCTGGGCCAAGGACGTCGAGTGTTCTCGTTTGTTGGCGACGTCAAAGCCAACTCGAGAGGGCCTCAAGAGTTGTTTGGACAAACCCGAAGCGCTCTTCACATAAGCCTGTGATTGAGACAGCAGAGAAGATCATGTTTGATCTGGGGAAGCATCGGTGAGCTTTCGAGGAAGAGGTCGAGGTTCGTTCTCTTTTCGCAACAAGCATCGTCCGTTCTAGCTGGGCAGAAGGGCTTCGTGGGCCTAGACTCGGGTGGATCGATCGCGTTGGCGGTTCTGGGCAGGGCACAGTGCACCGTCGAGGTGGAACAAGCTTCGACGACGGGGAAGGCGAGTACGGCGATGGGATTATCGAGATGGGGGATGATGGGAATGATGATAATGATGGTATTGATGGTATTGATGGCGTTGATGGTATTGATGGTGTTGAGGGGGACGGGCAGAGGGCGAGGGGGAAATGAAGGGGGAAGAAGAGTGAGAGGGAGATGGAGAATCGATTAGCACTTGGTTCGACATCGACCCTTCCCCCCCCCCGTGGTTGCCCTTTGATAAGATAGAAGATATGAGATAGAACATGGAAAATACCTAGAAGATACAAGATATTGCTGAGGTCTGATGTGTTTATGTATATACATATATATATATATAAAGATATACAATTAATATAACGGTAAAAGTCAACGTTCTCCGTACTTCTCCCATCCCTTTCGAGAGTTCGGCGCTACCCCATCCCGACTTGCTGGAAAGTCTTGGGAGCGCTCCGGTTGGTCGGTCGGTACCGGTTTTCATCACGTGATCCGACTCGGGTCCAGGTCCAGGTCCAGGTCCAGATCTACGGGCCTTACCCAGAGACAAGCAGGTCACGTTAGTTAGAAAGCTGAAGACATAACAATATCTACTCATCTGAGCTCACGGCGTGTGAATACTGGAAGATGAAAGAGAAATGTCAATAGACACATCTTCCGGAAAAGAATAAAACGCCCATGTCGTAAAAAGCCGTAGAAGCCCGTACCGATTTCCGTACTTCATCATGAGACAGACCCATACCGAAAGCAATTCTCCAACGCCAAAGCAGGCAAATCAAACTCCGGATCCAGCCGCACCAGTGCCCATTGCCATTCCCGTTTCTCATGACAGTCTCATCTCTCGTAACGATCTCCGGACGCCGACGCGACCATCTACTTCTGAAATGAAAAAGCAGTCTTCCTCTCCTCGCCCCGACTCTCCTCCACCCCTCTACCACCAGATGCTCCTCCGCTCCTATGCCCGTGACTGCGACTCCGCGTCCGAGTCCTCTGCCTTCTCCGTAACTTCGGACTCCCCTTCACACCCTCCCCTTCTCTCTCGCGACTTCGGCTTAAACTCTGGCTCCTCCTGCCCTTATCACTCCTGCCCATCGCCCTCCCAAAGCTCCACGGCTGATCTTGCACGATCCTATTCCCCGCGCCGACCGCAAGACCCTTCTTCTGATACTTCTTTCCCGGGCTCTTCCTGGCCATCTCCTCCCCCTCTTTCGGCCCCTGATCATCTTGTCTAGACCTCGGCGACGAATTGCTGAGTTCAGACGAGGCAGAAAGTGGGCGGTGGCGAGCGCGACCACGGAGAGTCGTGCTCCTGTTGGATGTCAGGTGCATGGGTGGATCAGCGGCCGAGGAGCGGCGACGTTTGCGACCGCGTTGGGAGTCATCGTCGGGGATGTCGAGGAGGTATGGAGAGGATTGCGCGGGTTGTTTGGACGGGGATGAGGTCACTGAGGTCATTGTGGTGATGGTGGAGGTCTGAATGAGATGAGATGAGGTTAGATGGGTACGGCACCGAGGGCCAGTGAGAAAGTAGTGGGTGGTGTGGTGGTGTTTGGTATATGGCTTTCGGTTAGAGAGGTTGTGTGTGTGTATACCTCGAGGTTCTATGACTCTGAAATTGAGATCTGAACGAAGAGCCCAGCCGTCAATCCGGGTGAGAGTTGACAATTGAGACCACCGCGAATACAGACACACGCCTTCTCTCTCGTCCACGCTCGTGTAACAGGCGTTCGTCTATTGGTCGTTAGCAGGCGTTGTGCAACTTCCCAAAATCTCTTCATGAAATAAAGAGGTGGGAAAGTAATAGCCAGCGTCTTCGATTGGAAAAGAAATATCCTGGTATGGCAAACAGACGAGCAGATATCTCTGCCTCGAGGATTGTAAAGTATGTGTGCCGCTCAGCTTATAAGGTATGATGACTGACTGACGGACGGACTGCCGCCTCAGCTGTGACCTTGAACTTGACAAGGCTCGACCAATATCCCTTCTAAATCGCGATCGGGAGTCAAAGAGCAAACGCCCAGTCGCCTCGTCTTCAGCTCTGCTCTAGGCCGGTGGCAAATCTCTCTTGTCTCTCAATAGCTTCCTTACCAACAGAATGAGAAAGTAAAACCCCCCACTCACTCAGGGATCGTCCGTTCTCGGTGTGGTCGTGGTCGTGGTCGTGGTCTTTACACCATCTCCTCTCTTCGTAATATGTTTGACGAATAAATGCCAATCCCAAGCAGCGGACGTTGCATTTGCAATTGGGATGGCATATTCAGAGGTGAGGGATGTGGTTATGCTTGCTTGCTTGGCAAAAGACGCAACGTGAGCGAGCCGAGCTTGGAAATCTTCCGGCGGATCATCCCACCTCAATACAGACTCACTCACTACGGCTACACATCCACCAAAACCATCCCACATCTCCATCACAACTGCAACAGAAACCATGAGTGCCCGTCCCATCCTCCGCGTCTCGCGCCTCTGCACTCGCTGCAGCAGCAGAAGTCACTACAGCACAGGAACCAGCAGCAGCAGCAGCAGCAGCACCACCACCACCACTCCCCCCATGCTCCTCAAGATCCGGTAAAATAACAGCCAGCTACTTAGCTATCCCCCCCTCCTCCCCTCTCCCCCTTCCCCCAACCAACCAGCATAAAACCAGACTCCAAACTAACCTCACCCTCCTCCTCCTTCTTCCCCCTCCACAGCAAAGACATGAAGACCGCCCTGCAAGCCAAAGACACCCCGCGCCTGACCGTCCTCCGCGCCCTCCTCGCGCAGACGCTCAACGCCTCCAAGACGGCGCGGCCCATCGCGAGCGACGCCCAGGTGCTCGCCCTCCTCCGGAAGTCCGCCGCCGCCGCCCGCGCCGCCAGCGCCGAGTTCCGCCAGAACGCCCGCCCGGACCTCGCCGACAAGGAGGACCGCCAGGCCGCCATCATGGAGGAGTATACCGACGCCGTGCCCGCCGTGGGCGAGGACGAGGTAAGGGCTGCCGTGCAGGCCGTGCTGGACGCGCTGAGGGCCGAGGCCGGGGGCAAGGAGCTGAAGATGGGCGAGGTGCTGAAGAAGGTTTTTGCGCCCGAGGTGCTGGGGGAGAAGCCGGTGGAGAAGGGGGATGTGGCAAGGATTGTGAAGGAGCTGATGAAGTAGGCGGGAACCTGGGGATGGGTACCTAGGATTCTGGTGTATATCATCTGTATCAAATGGTGTATAATAGCGGGATGTTGAAAAGTTTCCATTCAAGACAGGAAATATGGTCCTACGTTGTGTGTAGATATAGCGACACTGGGCTCCGGTGGTTTCATAACAGATGATAGCCTGGTAGCAGATAGAGGAAGCTGACCACGACGGGCAAACATTTGTGCGAGATGTCTAGGGCATTATCTCATGAGGAGAGCATATTTGACAGTCACTGATATTCCAATAACGAAGCAATTTGTTCTAGGTTTGCTTCGATTCTCATGCTACATACATGGAGATTCGAAATGCCAAACGAATCAAGTCAAAGCGCAAAAAGCATGGAGATATATCACGTTGTGGTCCAGCATACCTTTTAGGCCTGAGGCCGACCACCCAAGCCCATCGATCAATGCCGAGTCTGTGCTTTTGTCGTGATAGTCGTGATATGCGTCGGAGGAACTGCTGACAATCTTTCTTAAAAGTAGATGCAACGCAGGAGAGATGTGAGGAGGCAATCTACCCGGTCAGATAGTATCCATCTATAGCTTGTCGTAGTACTAAGGATACGGTTAGCTTCATTTTGAGGAAACACGGAAGGAGAGCAAACTTACGTTCTCAACACCTGGAACTTCGACCTTGAGACCCTTGCGCTTACGCATCTCCTGGACAATCCCACCGACCTTGGAGGTTCCATCAAGAGGGGATCCACCGGGAAGAATTTGCCAATGGTCGAAGACAAGTTGGGGGAAGGCTTGGCCAGAGGTGTGCGAGCGGAGATCAGCGTTGAAGCCGAAAGACTCCATGACTGGGAGGTATGCCTTGATGGTGAAGAGGGGAGTTCCTGGACGTTGCTCCTCGTTGAAGACGTGACCTCTACGTCTGGTCAAGACACCGTAGACACCACCCATAGCAGACTCAGGTACCTGAATCTCGACCAAGAAGACGGGCTCTTGGAGAGCGGGTGTGGCAAGCAGAGCGGAGGCGTAAAGGACACGACGAGCGGTTGGGATAAGTTGTCCACCACCACGATGGATAGCATCGGCGTGGAGGGTGACATCCATAATGTTGAAACGGATACTTCTCATGGGTTCTTCGGCAACTGGTCCTTCTCTCGAGGCCCACTGGAAACCAGAGACGACGGAATCCTTGATTTCGTTCAAGTATTGGACGGCCTTGGTCTGGTCAACCAACAAGTTGGCACCGCTGGTATCTGGACCGAAACACCAAATCTTACGGGCATCAGTGACATCCCAACCGAAGTCATCAGCCAAGATACGGGCGCGAGCCTTGAGATCGTCACGGGGAGAGATCTTTCCGGCCTCAATCTCCTTAGCAAGCTCCTCATCCAGAGGCTCAGCAATCATGTACAGACGGTTGTGCTTGTTGGGGGACTTGGACAGAGCGGTGATGCTGGACTTCTCGGTCACAGTCTCACGGTAGGCAACGACAGGGTCAGAGATACGCAGGGGAACACCGGCGTGATCTTCCTCGAGATCCTTCAAGCAAATCTCCAAGTGCAATTCACCAGCACCAGCGACAACGTGCTCACCGGACTCAGTGATCATGGTAAGAACACAGGGGTCGGACTTCGAGAGACGCTTGAGACCTTCGACGAGCTTGGGAAGATCCTGGGCGTTCTTGACCTCGACAGACCGACGAACGACGGGGGAGACGGAGAACTTCATGACCTTCAAGTTGTGGGCGGTCTCACTGGTGGTGAGGGTTCCAGACTTCAACAAGAACTGATCGATACCAACCAAACCGAGAATGTTACCAGCTGGGACATCATCGATAGGGTCGACCTTTCCACCCATCATGAGAACGGTACGTTGAACGGCCTTGATGAAAAGATCTTCCTTCTTTCCAGGGGTGTAGTTGGGGCCCTGGATACGGACCTTGAGACCGGAGCGAACAGTACCGGCGAAGACACGGCCGAAGGCGTAGAAACGTCCCTTATCGGAGGTGGGTACCATTTTGGAGACGTACAACATGAGAGGCCCCTTGGGGTCACAGTCGCGGATAGCGATGCAGGCCTCATCATCAGGAGGACCTTCGTAGAGGGTCTCGGCACGGTACTTCTGAGCTGTGACTGGGGACGGCAAGTGAAGAATCATCATCTCCATGAGCGCATCGGCGGCGGGGAGGAAAGTTCTCATGATGACCTTCAGGAGCTGCTTGCCCTCCTTGTCACGGTCGTCAGCGCTAAGCTTGATGCTGAGCTTCTCGAGGAGAGTCGGGATCTCATCCTTCTTGAAGTTCATGACGGCGTTGAAGATTCTGAAAATGGGGTCCAGGATGAACTGGTTGAAGGCACGCTCCAAGTCCTTGCCCTCGTGGGTAGACTTGGTGGTCCACTTCTTGGTGTGGGGGTTGAAGTAGTTGTCGCCCTGTAAGATTATTAAAAAAGGCAAGTATTCCTGGAGGTATATAGACATACCCAAAGACGCTCCATCATCTTATTTCTGTCAACACCAAACTTCTTGGCGTAACGCTGAGCGAATTGACGGACAGTGAACGCCCAGCCGTGGAGACCGGAACCAAAAGCAACAGTACCCTTGTATGGGTAGACCTGAACATCACCGAGGGTCTTGTCGAAGTAGGTGGAGATAACAACGTTGACGGACTCAATGGTTCTCGAGAAGGACTGGTACAGGTCCTCCTTGGAGACTTGCAATTCGAGGAGAGCACGATCGACCTTGTTGATGATAACAACGGGTTTGATACGCTCACCAAGAGCCTGACGCAGAACAGTCTCGGTCTGCACGCACACACCTTCAATGGTATCGACGACAACGAGAGCACCATCGGTGACACGGAGAGCAGCGGTGACTTCAGACGAAAAATCAACGTGACCAGGTGAATCGATCAAGTTGATCAAGAAATCACGGCCGTCGGTCTTCTGGCCAACGATATCCTTGATATCGTCGTCGTTCTCCAAGTTTCCGTACAGGGATATAGCGGTCGACTTGATTGTGATACCACGCTCCTGTTCATCTGCACGAGTATCGGTGGCTCGCTGATCACCAGCCTTTGCCGCGGAGATGATACCGGCCTTGGAGAGGAGGGAGTCGGTGAGGGTAGACTTTCCGTGATCGACGTGAGCGATGACAGACATGTTACGAACGTTCGAAGCCTTGTCCATCAAGGCGCGAACCTCTTCGACGGTGAAGCTGCATGGCACACAGATATTAGCCTTTGCAAGATCCTATTACTGCCGGGCAATAGTGATGCTCTGCTTCGTCGGGGTCATTTGTGAACAGCAGAACAGCGTAACGCGATTCGGAGAGGGATAGTGCCTGGCAGGAGCCATCAAGATCGGGATTATGGAACTTACTTGACCATGGTGGCGGTGGTGCTTCGAAAAGCTGATTACAGAGGATTTTTTTTTTTCCTTGACGCCCGGGCGCAACGAGATACCGGTCTCGAGATTGGGTAGAAGACCACTGGTCGAGTGCTTGCTTGATTGATTTGACGTCTTGAATTGTCTTGGACGAGACCAGGACAGGAGACAGAGCGCAACGAAAGTTGTTGGCTTTTTTTGGGGGGGGGATGGGGAGAGGGGTGGAGTAATAGAAGAGGGAGAAGAGAGGAGTTGGTTGGATGAAGAAACTTGTGTTGTAGGTCGGTGGGGTGGTGAACGATTAGTAGCCGTAAGAGTGAGGGGCAATTGCTAGCCCCACTTAGCCGGCTACTTCACTCACACCTTCAGGGCTAGAAACCCTATCCGCTTGTATACCTAAGGCATCTAAGATATCCCATATTATATATCAGGTGACATCGGTATAATCAGATTGCAAGATAGACTACCGGATGCGCATCTCCTCATTGGGTATTCCTGGGTGTGTTGGTATCAAGAGATCCTGCCCTTCTAGCGCCACTTCCCTATCTACCGAGCAGCCTATCGCCGACGGTGTTTTCTAGCTTCATACACCAAGACTTGAATATTTCGAGCACAACATTACAATATTTGCTTGTTTGTTCTTCTTACTTTACTAGAGCTTGGATCTGTTCTCAGCTGACAATGAAGACTCAGTGCGCGCGCAGATTTGGCCTTTCACCTATCCATCATTATCATGCCGTCGACCACCAAGCGATGTAAAAGTCACATTGGACTTGCAAATATCCTCGTCGAAGATTGATTGCATTACTGCCTTCCGAGGTGCAAAACATCCGAGTATCTCTCGTCAATGGACGCGACGGCATCGATCACCGCCGCGTGGCTGACCGGCTCATGGATGGTCCCTTTTGAGAACTTGACAACATGGGAAGCCTCCTCAATCTTACTCCAAAACACAGGCACTCTCGATCCGATCCCGCACCACCTCACTCCACTTCACCTCAGCTATGGCCATTGCTCTAATTTTATGTATGTGATGATTTTCAGGCCCTGAACATTACTCCGTAGCCGAGAAGAGGTCTACCGAGGGAATCATACGCCCACTGCTCAAGGAGGCCAGAACAGCATATCCTGACTAACCCCAAGAAACCAATCGAGAACTACTGCGAGTTTGTGGCACTCTGTCATTCAGTTCCATGGCAGCATCGATGTCTTCATCTTGATCGATGCTTCCTAAAAACTACAAATAGCCAGGCATTCCATTCTGATCCCATGCTCCCTGAATCCCCACCCCCTTCCAGACTCCACCGCTATGCCAAATACAAAAAAGAGATAGCCCCGCTCAAGAAGACCCCAGGATCTTCCCATAAGCATCCTCAACCTCCGACGCCAGTTCCAATAATGTCACAATAACAATCTGATGCGTCAGATTGGGGAGCCTGTCTCTATGAAGCCCGATCCATTCCAGCCTAAAAATCCAATTAGCAATAGTTATCGAAGACTAGAGGTTTGGGGTGACTTACGGCGGCGTTGCCTCTCCCATATCCTTCAACTGCGGCGTCTCGATGATAGGCGGCTCAAGCGCAGTGTAGTTATACTTGGACTGCGGTACATTAACCTCCGCCGTAATCTTCCGCTGCTCGCCCTCCTTTCTCTGCTGAGGATCCTCTTCGTCCGGCACCCCAGTGATCTTGACCGCCGACGGCGGCAGCGGCTTCCCCAGTCTCTGCGCAAGCGCTTTCGTATGAGACGCGTACATGCCGCGGATATAGCTGATCCTAGAATAATTCCACCCAACCTCTACTTTGCCTTCGAAGAAGGATTTGAAGATGTAGTCGATGTGGTTAGAATTAGGCACTTGCCAGGTTTGCATTGTGGCTTCGACTTTAGGAACCTTGAGGATGGTGCCGCCGCGGGATTCGGTGGCGCTGCTGACGACGTCGTCGACGGAGATTTCGCCGACGGATTTAGGGAAGTCGGACTGCCGCACGCCTGCGAGGCCGATGCGGAGTTGGCCCAGGGTCAGGCCCAGAGTGCTGTGGATCTTGCCATTGTCCATTGTGACGGCGAACCGGGCTTGTGCGTCAAGGGCTTCGAGCTTGAACACTTGGTGCTCTAGAAAGGTGTTTGGGAAGACTCCCATGTTCACAGCCTTCAGGGTCACGATTACATCGGTATGAAGGGATATCCGGGAACCAGTGACTTTTTCCTCCCGTAACGCATCAAGGTGGCTCTTTGGCGTGGATGTAGAGTGTTGTGTTACTGATTTACGCTTCATAAACTTCTCGATTTCCGCTAGTGAAGTCTCGTAATTTGACCTCTTCTCCTGGACCAGCCTTTCAAAAGCCTGGTACAGTGCAAGACACTGGGAAGCAGTTGCGGTAGTGCAGAAGACTTGCACAGATTCTCCATCGAGGATTGCCATGAGACGATCACCCATCCCATGGCGGCTATTCCTGACATTATACATCATAAATTTGAAGGAAGTGATATCAGCGACCAAGAAGGCTTGATAATCAAACGCCGCTTTGATACGAAGCTGGCTGAATGACAAGGATCCTTGGACCAGTGGAGTCTGATTCAAAGCCATTTCGCGGGCCGGCCACTGAATCGATGTTCGTACTCCGAAATCTTGGAGAGACACGAATCCGCTCATCCTCCCTGTACTGTCTACCCCGACTTTGTCAAAGCCCAGGCACAGGTTCTGCTCCCAATCGGAATTCTTCTTTGAAGAAATCCAGAAATTTGAAATGATGAAGGCGGATTTGCCAATTGCTTGCCCCAGGTCCAATTGTACATCCAGCTCGGCAATTGAGACGGTTGCGTTCCAAGGGAATGCTCCGGTAGCTGCGACTTGTTGGTATCTTTGGACAAGAAATGTTTGCGACTGTAAATTTGCTGGCGCTGGTGCAGGTGCAGGCGAGGACTGCCGAATCTCGGGCGGGACCCAGATCTCCCGGAAGAGCAGAAAGTCCTGCAATTGCTTTGCGTTAACTAGCACTTTCATTGGGCTGATTTTCAAAATGGCAGATATTCCACTAGTACCACTGACGTGCTTGCTATTCATTAAGGATAGGAAAACGGAGTCCACGTCGAAGCTTCCAGTAGACTCGCGAGAGTAGACATGCTGTACTGAGGCCTGTAGTCTAGTGAATGCAGCCGAAGCAGCGAAGAAGTGGCCATGCTCAGTTGATCGTACAGTGTTGAAAGTGAGATAAATATCGTCAAAGCGAGCCGTAGCTGCGACTCGAGCAATAGGCTGGCAGCTGAGACTGAATTCCTGTCGGCAAATGCGAAGACCAAGATCCAGCCTTGTCCGACCCAGGACTGTGCTAGGATCAGCAGTCAGAATGTTGTCTTCATCCACGCTCATGAATTTCTGCGGCGAAGATTTCGTCTGCAGTGATTTCTTGTCGTCATCATCGCTACTGACAACGTCTTTGACAGTCGACGATATTTCCATGATCAGCGGGACTACTGAAGGGTACAAGATATTGGAGGACTCCTCCACCTTGACCTCCGCATTCAGTGAAGGATCGTCCAGACCGTTGTCATTGTACTCAATCTTACAAGCCAATCCAGGAGCCCGCAAGGCAGTGCTGTTGCTTGCATCCTGGTTTGTGAACTGTCCATATTTTCCGGTCTGAGTAGTCCGACCGCCTTCCACTCTTAGCTTGTAATTGGATGGCTCAGAGACTTTGTTACCCGAAAGGTAGACCACGGCTCCTGCAAAGTCGGCATCAACAAGAAGTGACTCCATGCGCTTCTTACCGAGGAATGGCTGGCGTCTGATCGTTTTTGTGGGAGTCCCGGTACTGGGAGTAGACCAAGATGCTGTGGCTGCCTTAACTTTGTCCGAAGCGTAGCCAATTGATTTGGCTAATTCCGATGCAGGTAACATAAACTGTGAAGTCAGGCGCAGGTCCAAAGACTTTCCGGCAGCTTGGAAAGCAAAGCGGCGAGTGTCTGCCGTTGAAACATAACCGACGTTGAAGATGATTTCTGGTAGCAAAGCTGAATTCAGAGATCTCTGAAGCTTATCTTGTGAGACAGGAACCATCTGCAGCTGCAAGTCCTCAATGGCCAATCTAGCAGAATTTTCCCTACGTGTGGAGAGACCGATACGTTTGAGTGAGAGAACAAGATCCTCTCTTTCAGAGGTCGATGACTGTATGGATTCGTACGTTCCTACAAGCCAGCTGACTTGTATGTTCAGTAGCTCCAAGGAATACATGGAAGCGAAAATTATCATCGACCCAGGAGCGCTCTCATCCGGTGTTTCCTGTTCGTCATGAACTGTAGTTCGTGGCTTTGGTTTGCGTAGCTTTCGGAGGTAATTCTTCTCTCGCGAAAAGTCAAGGTCCTTGATCTTGTGCTGCAGATGGCCCAATACATCCAGAAATGACGAAGCAGTATCAGCAAACAAGTTGATTTCCAGTCCTTCGCTCTTCACATGGAACGATCTGATCTCACCCCGAGTATCATTCAGCTTCGATGTAGCTGTTAAGGAAGCGGCGAAGGCAAGATTGCCACAAGGCTCCATGGTACCTTTATTCCACCTGTATAGCTCAAACATGATATGGCGCATGTTCATTCGCAGTTCGGGGAATTCGAGAACTGGCCCAATTTCCTCGAGGCGATTTGCAACTACTAGTTGAATACAACCAAGATTCAGATCTAACCTTACTGCCTTGAATTCTTTGTCAGCCCCTTGTGCATTCGCGAATACATCAAAGCCTGCCAAAGTTAAATGGGCATCGTATATGAGAGGCTTAGGTTTTGCCTGTGGTGATTTTGCCTGAGGTGGTTTTGCCGATGGCTTCGCCTTTGGGCCAAATATTTCTTCGATATGAGACTGCACAACCTTGATGTCGTCTTGCACATCGGATATGACGCTCGATATCTCTGGCCTGTTGAGGGCAGTCAGCAGACTATGAACTGCGGCAGCATCTAACTCGACGGGCTCGACAGATGCTATGATTGAGATCGTAGTCTCTTCATCGGACAACTGGGTAGTAATTCGGCCGTTCGTCGGAGGCATCTGTAAGAGCGAGATACTTTTGAACTTGTTTGAAGAAATAGTCTGAATGTCGTGCGAATGTTCCTTTACATCAAAGTCGAAGAGAATCTCCGAGTCCATTTGCGCAGCCAGTGAAGCTCTCGCTACGACACCAGAAACGATGTATGTCAGAGACTGAAGCAGCGGTAGACTGATGGTATATTTGTCGAGAAACAGTGCAACATTGACTTTCGTTGAGGATTTGTTCTCAATGGTAGCAGGAGCCGTTACCTTCGACGGCTTGGCTGAAGGCAATTTTTTACTCAATTGGTAGAGTTGAGCGACTTCGTCACCAACAACAAGATCCAGAACTTCTATCAATGCCAGAATTTCCTGCCGAACAGCGAAGGAGAGGTCTTGACAGTTACCAGCTACTTTGAAAATATTGACCGCTGCTTCGTTGACTATCTCAGATTCGAATGAACAGTAGATGGTCGGAAATCGAAGCTGGTATAATGTCAAATCCTGAGAATGACTCTTTATTTTGGAAGTAACAGCCTCCGCAGCAAGCATAAAAGTTGCAATGTTTCGACCCTCCATTTTAGGTGAACCAAGCATGACAAAGGAAGCCTTGAGGCCCTTGCTGATCGACGAGAGTCTGATGTTTATGGTGTCGATGATGATTGATCCCCGATCAGTAACAACTAGTATCTGTAAATCTTGCTTCTGCTTCGGCTCGACTGTTTTGTTGATGGGTGAGTGGCTACTAGGTGAAGCTTTAGGCTTTGACTCGTTTTGATTGTAGAGTTTTATGATGTTCTCCACAAGCTCACATAGTTCCCAATTTAGGTTGATAGATGCATCAGCGCAAAACAGCTGAACGATAGTTTTCTGTACTCTTTGTGGGTCTTCCTCGGGGCCAACATCCGACAAGAAGATAAGAGACTTCGTTTGGACAACAGCGCTCATGTTCGAGAGAGTGATTTCATTCTGCTTCGGCCCAGGGTCCACCACAAGACGAAAGTACTCGGTTCGAAGAGAAACTGCGAGAGGGTGCGCTTGAGATTCTGTAACGCTATCTGCCGGGGAACCATATACCTTTGCCATTGCAAGACAGCCGTTGATGTTGTTGAGATCCCAGCTACGCCATTGATCAAAACTGGCCTGGACTTGCTGCTGAGCATCGTCGGGGAGCACTTCTGCATTACTGAGACAACGCATAGCTATCTCCTGCTTGTGCGACTGATCTAAAGTATCAAACATGTGACGTAAGCGAGTAACAATCTTCCATGAATCGCTTGTCCGCAAGTGACTTGATGCTGAGCGCAACACAATGGATGGTCTTGTCAAGAACAGTGGGTCTGCTGCTCCTTGCCCTGCAGTAGCAACAAGGTATGTGAAGCGTTGGACACGGATTCGTTGTTGTCTCAGTTGAGATGCAAACGACTCCTCGAGGTCGATGACTAGTACTTTAGTTCGATGCAGAATTGAAGCCAGATACTCAATTTTGCTACTAGCGGTGGCAAGCTCGAATCCTTTGAAAGCCACATTGACCGAGGTCTCGTCTTTCGAGACTGCCCAGAACACTACGTCTTCGACAAGACCGTTGACGGCAGCCTGGGGTTCTTCTAGGCCGTTAAATCTTTCTTTTGCTGAGACTCCGGCTGCAGCGAGAGAGACATGGATGATGGAAGATTTCCGAAATTCGTCTGAAGTATTTCCGTCTGGTACCATGGTCTCGGATCTCATCGTTGCGGCAAGCTTGGACATGTACAGGTCGTACTGGTCGCTCATGTCTTCATGTGCAGCTCTAGATGATGTAGTGGAATTTATGAATCGCACATCGATTGCCGGAGTATACACCACAAAATCGATCACTTCACTGGTCGGGAGATTCTTTTTGGGCAAATCCATAATGTCGCTTGTCGACTCCATTTGCAATTGATCCAACAGATCAGCAGGCTCAACTGCTTGGACTGCCGCAATGAGGCTAACAATTGCATCGGCAGCCTTGGGATTGAATACACCTTGTATGCCACTAGGAAACTCGAGCATAAAGCTCGCATGTCCCGTCTTTTCGTCAACTCTGTCTTGACGTATATCATCCAATCCGAGTTGGGGCTCGTCAGATGTTCCGTGAGCGTCTTTCGAATATTTTGGAAGGTCCCTTGCATCCGGTTGCACCCCTTCCAAGGGGAAGTGTGGTGCCATAAATGAGCTTGAGAACGTGATAGTGGATGACTGTAAGCCTCGATTCTCTCCCACTGCACTGTAGAAGGAGGGCTGCCTGCCGGTCGAAACCGAAACGTCTCGAAAGGGAATACGACGATTTGGACCCGCACTAGTTTGCATACTCCGCGACCGTGGTGATTGCGCTTCGCCTGATCTCAAATCACTTCGGGGACGAACTATGCTATGACTGCTTTTCTGGCTAGAGCTAGAGATGGATATAAAAGAGCTCTGACGGCCCAGTAAGGTCTTGCGATGGGGTAGAGACGATCCTTTGGTGGACGTCAAGGATTGCTTCTCATCCTGTATGATTGGCGAAGGCATTGGAGGCACACTCATGGCAGGCGGATCAACTGGAAATATCATTGAATGGTCGAGTAAATGAGGGTGTAAGAGAAATTCTGTTCGGCGTGTTCGTTGATCTTGTCGCTTGATGTGCTCTTGTTGAAGCAGGCGATCTTCCTCGAATCCGGGATTTCTCTGTATCATTGAGAACGAAATTGATGTTTTGAGCAGGGCGTGAGTTTCAACCGGATGCTGACTCCTTGACCTATGTCTTGATGCCGACTCCGCATCTACACATCCAATCTGCAAACCAGGAAGCTGCAACTTCAGTTTCTTCGAGTAGTGTGAGCCTGCCCAGTCGTTGAAGGTCACAGATATAGTTTCTGTGGCGAATAAGAATGCAGCCTCGTCAACATGTAGCCACACCCATACTGATTCGACGGAGGCTCTGAGAAATGTTACATCGTGTACAACAGGTTGAGATATGAGAGGCAGAGCATTTTCGCCATCGTCAAAGGAGAACCCAAAAGCTCTTCCTCCATTGGCTAATCGGGTGAAAAACTCCGAAGTACACTCCCCGGATACAGCGCCCACAGCAAAATCCCAATTACAAATGTAGGTTGGTTCTGCTGGGGGCAAACCGAAGAGTCGATTCCCATAGACATTGATGCCATCGATAAACAACTGAGTGCTGGAGGTTGCGCTTATCGGCGTACTTCTGCCATCATCATCACTGCCTTGAGAGAATGCCAAAGTACTTAAGGCAACTTCTAGGTCCATGTAATAATTGGTAAAACGAAGGTCTGAAGCAAGAGTAGCAATGTCAATGCGGATATGATTCGTCGATGAGTAAAGATTGGAAGGAAGAATCACGCTGGTTTCATCTGCGCTCAGGCTCAATATGACATCGAAATCATTCGACTTCTTGTGCGGCGGCTGCGGATTCGCCGCATCTCCTTCACCCCGTTCAGTTGCACGGAGAAGTTCCTGGTACTCCTCAATGGTCTTGAAGTGATTGTCATCGCCAAAGTAGTTGTCTACTATCTTGAGATAATAGCGAATCACAAAGCCATAGAATTGAGCAGTTAGACCAAGTCCATGTACGTTAATTAGCAAAGTGTCAGTATTGCTGGCTGAGGTTGTCGCACAGTACTGGTACTTTCCATCGATCTCAAGCTCCTTTAGCGTAGCTATTTCCATAGAGTTCAAGAAGGTCGCTTGAGTATTCCAGGGGGGGACATTGAGGTTCAAGCCCCCGTGTCTTGCACTGACTTTGAAAGGTATATCGTTTCGGTGAGGACGGTAAGTGTCAAGAGGAATGGCGACATCTGCATCCAGTTGGGCACCAAAGATGATGATATATGTGTTGTCGTCAAAATCTGACGGATTATTGATAATATTGGAGTCGTTAACATTCAAGTATATTCTAAAATCCGAGAGCTGTAGTTTGACGTCGTACTTGAAAGGAGCAAATGTAAGGTATTCCGGTGGAGGTCCGCTGGCCCAGTCATCGACAAGATCCGTAAGTAGAAAGATGTGCTCTCGAAGGATAAAGAGCTCAAGTCTACTGCTGAGCACATCGAATGTCCAAGTACGATATCCATTCCACTGCAAAGGGCTAGACAGATCACAAGAAACCTCATTGTCGATAGAGCGCCACAGAACACCGTGATTGACGCTCGTCTGAATCTCCATGTTGGGGAGACCCAATTTGAGTCTATTCGAAAACCCAGAAGGGCCAGGAACCATGTCCATGACATAACTGATTGTAGCGTTTGCCCCAACCCGAATATCTATCCAGCCAAAGGGCCGAATTTCTGGTCCCGGATTCCCTTTGTCTGTCTTCTTTTTTCGATTGCCTCTCCCTAACCGCCTCTGGTCGCTGAGTACCACACCCATCGTATCTGCTTGTTTCGTCCACTTCCAGTTCTTTGACTCCTCCTTGATTGGGATGCGGAGTGTGGCCGCTTCTACAAATTCGATGTATAATTTGAACTCCGTGGGTACCCTAAATTGCCCAGGGACAAGGTCTTTACTTGGAACGGAGTCTTTGCACAAGCTTGGGAAGAACACTTGCTGGATATCAGCACGTTGCCTATCAGCCCAGGGTCCGTAGTTGATTATTCCACCCTTCAAAGTCAGGTTGATTCCCCATTCCGGTGGAACGTCTCCGTTGATGTTCCCGACACGCGTCCCTTGTTTCACACCAGGCCCATCCTTAACAGTTCCTACAGCATCCCAATAGAAGCACATGTTGGCTTCGGGACAATCAACGATTGCCGACACTGTTGCGTATTCGATAGAAGACCACCTAGCCCTATCATCTTGCTCGCCTTCGTCTAGATATCGCGAAAGCCCTTGCCAACTGTGCGATCCTGGACCACCTTGCGCAGGTGTACCTGGTGGATCATGTGAGCTGCTAGAAAAGGATTCGACGGAGCTACGGAATGCAGGGACTAGATCCTGCAATCGATGCCATATTTTCCTGCGCTGGCGATGAAAAAAGGGGCGCCTGTGAAAGTGGTGGTGATCCGGTTGATCGGTCTCGCCACGCTTGAGACGGGACGCAGCGGTCGTTTGGTCCTCCTTGTAATCTTCATTGGGCTTCATTTGAATAACTGGATGCACGAATCTGAAGTTGATCAACTGGCGGTATTGATCCAATGTTGTTGCCGACTTCGTTGCGTCAATCTCACCAATAGCTCTCTCAACTTTCGTGATCAAAATGCTCTTCGTATTTTCGTTTCCGAGAACGACTGCTGCCTTTTCACAGGTGACATGGATAGGAAGAAAACGAAGAACAAAAGAACCCTCTGAACTTGTGCTATTGCCGTCATCCGAGACACTTTGTTCGGGTTGAGATGCTGTTGAAGCCTTTCTCATTCTTATCTCTTCACTCAAAAAAGTACTCTTTTCTGTGAGTGGCGTGCCCTCGCTATCAGCATCTGGAGATACGTTCGGTAGAGAGTCTTTTTGTTCCTGATCTTTTTTCTCACGATCCTTTCCTCGACCCCTTTTGCGTGGCTTCCCATCTTGCTCACCATTTATCGGTAAGCTTTCATCTGGGATCGATTCAGTGAGACCAGCAACAATTGAATCGTAGGCAGCACTTCTGTTGTAGACGAACCACTCCAATCCACTTAGTGTAACATCGAGACGACAAGGGAGCTTCGCTGTTCCTTTTTTGCCCCCCTTTTCCTCTCCCTCAACGGTTGCCGGACGTTCTTCATCGTTGTCTGAGGAGACACTTTTGGCAGCATTTTGACCTGAGCCAACATCCAACTCTTTAACATTCCTTAGCCAGTAACGCCATGTGATGAAGCCACTGTGAATCAAGATCGTCTCGTTATTGCCATGGTATTTGACCCCTTTGAAGAATATCCTCCCACCTAGGAGAGATATTTGTAGCGCTTGTATGTCGATGTAGACTCGGTGTACGTGCCATGTCCATAATCGAAGAAGGATGGACAGAACGGTTGCAAAGACTCGGTTGAAATAGAAGAGGAAGAAGAGGGTTCTGAGACCTGTAAATAACTGCTATTCACAACCCAAGTAGTATGGACTTACAGGATACCGCAAACAATCAACTCGACAAGAAATATCCTTCGAACAGATTAGCACTGTTTTTTAATTTGCAAAGGAACAAGTATACCAGTTGAACCCTAGGCTTTCAACTAATGGAAGGCTTGTCAATGCCCTTGTGCTTGACATCTTCTATCCTTAATGTGACTGCACCTCTCTCCTCATATTGCCTCGGAACCCCATACTATGACCGAGTCCGTACGCCTGTTGGACCTGTTTGCGATTTCGAAGTCCGAAAATAGAGGACTGATTTGGGAAGGTCGCCGGCGCAACGTCTTCGTTTTCGGAGGCTCTGAGTCAGTTCGCTCATAGAGCGTGCTGCTATTCACTGCTTTAGAGGGTTTGACCATTGATGGCCCGCGCTATCCCCTTTCGGGTGATTCTGCCGATAAGGCTCAGTATGTTGAACCTAAGTAAATATCCGAACACAACATTGCACTGCCAGCAGCCACTGTCCACAGAATCCAACTTTCCATGTCGAGCTGGAAACCGAAAGAAGATGACCAGGGACTCCTCAACAACCGCGTGAAGAACCTCGCTTCTACGCAAATCTTTACGTTCCTTCTCCAGAACCAGAAATCCTAGCAACGCGTCATAGCTCAGCAGCTCGCCGCAATGGGAGTTCTCTCTGGGGGAACGGGTGAGAAGTTGACGCATGCTACGATTATCGTCGCCGGAGTTTCGTCGTTGGTGGCATCTCTGCTTTCCATCGTGTGAGTGGCAGTAAACTACACATTTGCTATATGCGGCTGCTAATATCATGGTCAACAGCTCGATATGGTCCCAATCGTATGCTACCTTCACTCGACCAGAGAGCTGTACTGCGCACTAGCTAATATCACTTCAGCAAGAACTACAGGAAGCCTCTTCTACAAAGATATGTTATCCGCATATTGCTCATGTAGGCTGACGGCCCAGTCCTCTATACAACAACATGCTAATCCGATCAGGGTGCCCATATACTCGCTAGCATCATGGTCGAGTATCGTCTCGCTGAAAGCTGCCATGTTTGTAGATCCAATCCGTGATATCTATGAGGTGAGATCCATTTGGACTACTTCATTCGATTTTCTGACGTGGGCAGGCTTTCACGATATATACCTTCTTCCAGTTGTTGATCAACTTTATTGGCGGAGAAAGAGCACTCATTATCATGATGCACGGCCGGGAGCCAGTCCACCATCTCTGGCCTCTCACCCACTGCCTTCCGAAAGCCGATATTTCCGACCCTCACACTTTTCTGGCGATAAAGCGTGGGATCCTGCAGTATGCTTGGTTGAAGCCAATCCTCGGTCTGGCTACCGTCATTATGAAGGCCACAGGGACATACAAAGAAGGCTATCTCGGCTTGACATCTGGGTATCTATGGAGTGGTATCCTCTACAACATTAGTGTCACTGTCAGTCTGTACTCCCTAGGCATGTTCTGGGTCATCATGTCGAAAGATTTACAGCCATTCCGTCCGGTCCCCAAGTTTCTCTGCGTCAAGTTGATCATCTTCGCGTCATACTGGCAAGGATTCTTTCTGTCTATTCTGGTATGGCTTGGTGCAATTCCGGACGATGTTGAAGGCTACACCTCGGACAATCTTGCTGCAGCTATACAAGACGCCCTCATCTGTGTCGAGATGCCTATTTTTGCTATAGCCCATTGGTACGCTTTCTCGTGGCATGACTATGCCGATGTCACAATCTCAGCGGCCAGGATGCCAGTCAAGTTTGCACTCCGGGATGCGTTTGGAGCACGAGATCTCATCGAGGACACAAAGGAAACTTTTAGCGGGAACAAATATGAATACCGACTGTTCGACACTGGAGATAATGTCCTTGCCCACGAAGGCTCATCCTCGCGTGTTGCGAGAATGATGGAGGGAATGCGATATGAGCGAGGTGGAAAAGGCAAATACTGGATACCAAAACCTGGCGATGTTAACGCTAGGACTCCCCTGCTTGCCAGTGGCGGACCAAGCCGAACACGCAGTCTATCACCCTCAAAACCTCAGCAGAACGATGCACAATATATGGGAGCTGGGGATGGTAACTTTGATGAGCTCGCATTAGATCCGGGTGAAGAAGATTTGTATGATAGGGCGAGAGCCTTGGAGTTTGGTGACTGGAATGTGAGTTTGCCTTAGGTTGATGAAAGTTGACACAAAATCTGACCGCCACAGTATCCTGTCATCACAGCTCATGAAGCATCCCGAGAGAGATGGCTCAACTCGTCACCTGACCTGATAACCACGTCAGCCAACCGCAATCTGTTGCAGCCTACCAGAGACAATCAGATCCGCCGTGCAAGCAACGTCCGAGAAACAGTTGAAGAGGTCACCAAGAAGTCCAAACGAAAACACAGTTCTAGTAAGAACAAGAAGACAGACAGTAGCTCTAAGGGGAAGGGCAAGAACTCTCCAACTGGAGAAGAAGCACAGGATTCTCCAACTGGAGAAGAAGGACGAGCGCCCGCTCTGATGGGCCTGCTACGGCACCACTCATCAGGTTCCAGCTCTGCGAAATCGGATCGAAGCCAGCTTGTAGATCTCGTAGTAGAAGATAAAAAAGCCGAGGAAATCGACAGGGTTCGGGCACGAAAAGAGGGCGGTTCAGCTTGGAACCAGACCGAAGCTAAGCGCTTTGTGTAAGCCTTCCCTACTCTAAACATGTGCTCCTGATCTAACGCTTTACGCAGACGTACTTATGGAGAGGATACAGGTGAGGATATCCGTGAAGGATATGAGCCCAATCAAGATGTCGCCGTCGCGGGTCCCAAGACAGATCAGCAGGACGAGTTTGCGGTGGGAGATGACGAGCCGACGCCCCAAGATGAAGCCGAAGAGTCCACGCACTGGAAGGAATTACATGAGCCTGCAGTTTTGCTGAAGCCCAAGTACGGGCTGGATGGCGAGGAGGCATTTGAGAATGTCTGGGGAGGCGGAGAGCCTGCAGAGCCGCCTCGGGAGAACCCCTGAGGTTGTGTGTCGTCACACATCCGGCACATTTGGAGTCCAAGGCAGGTTCGACCTCGGATGCATGGCGAAGGCGTACCTCAGCGGGCAAAGGTCGCGCAGGGTATTGGAGTTGCACTAGCGGGGAATCACCATCAGCGCTGCCGAGGTACCGGTACATTTGTACTTTAACTTTTCCTTCACCGGGTTCCTCTACAGATGTTTATGAAATGTTGGAATCGACTTTGCGGAGCCATCAGGGAGGTTGAAAGAGTCTTTTTCTCGTACCTACTAACTCGATCCAAGCTAACAGAAACCGTACGACGCAGGCCGAGGAGAGATGTGGTGGATGTGGATCGGCCATGCATGCTGTCGGTAGGTGGTTCGGTCGGTCGAGTGCTGTACTGTACAGTAAGTAGGTACGTAGCACAGGCGTCGTACCCGTAGCGGTACCGTGGTGGGAGTGTAGGTTTGGAGGGACGGCGGGCCGTCCGCGGATCCATCCGCGGCCTCTTTTGTTTTTCTTCTAGTGCGGACTTACTGACTAATGCGAGAGAAGGCGTGCCGAGGAGCGCACTCCGGTCGGGACCCAGTTTTTTTTCTCGACTTTGACTTTGGGGGTTGGAGATGTGCGATGAGTGGAGACGAGAAGAGGGGAGGGTGGCGGGAAGTGGGGAACGGGAAGTGGGGGAGTGGGGAGTGGGAAGATGCCAAGAGCTTGGGGGTGGGTCTACGCGGAGATGGATGGAGGGGCTGAACTTGGAAGAAATCAATCCGCAGTGAGGCGCGCAATGTACCACGGTACAGGCCTAAGTATTACCCCTCGAGGGTGCCTTAAAAGTGTAGTTTCCACTTTAAACCCCCTGTTTTCCCTACCCTCGAGGGGTAATACTTAGGCCTGTACCATGGGTAGATGGCTGGTCGGCCGGACGCGCTTACCCTGTCTAATCGGGGAGTAAGTCGTCCTTCTTCGGACGGCGGAGGTGCAGCTGTAGTAGGACTAGTTCTGGTAGGAGTGCTCGTAGTTGTACTGTAGTTGTACTAGGTACGTACATTAGTATCGTACCTACAGTAGTACTGTACTGTACTGTACTGTACTGCTTGCATCCCGAGCCAAGCCCGGTAGGCTATCGGCATCGACACCCGGGCAGGATCTCCGCCGCGTGTGACTTTTTGGACTTTTGGACTTTTGGATTTTGACTTTGGATTTTGACTTTGACTTTTGACTTAGACTTTGACCTACGGTAGTGCGTGCGCACTGACTACTTTACTTACTACTACTAGTACTTCCTGCACGGCCCTTAGCTACTGTACTGTACAGTACAGTCGGGCACGCGTGACGCCAGGCCGTCGACGTCGTCTGAATTGCCTTAACCGGTCGCAAGCTCGTCGACGCCGTCGCTGTCGGGCTCGTCTGGACGCCGCTTGACTCGCATGGACTCTGCAGCATCGCTCCGTTTCCCTGCAGATTCCCGCCCCTTGGGCTTTTGGACTTGGGGAGGGGAGGGGAGCGGAGGGGACTGGACTGGACTGGACTGGACTGGACTGGACTGGACTTGCTGGACTGGCTGGACTGCCCTGGCTGGACTGCACTGCACTGCACTGCACTGCAACGGGACGTGCACCCTGATCCTTGCTAGAGCTACACAAGATTAGCTCTTTAGCAGCATCACTCTGCATCTTGGTATGATACAACTGATATCCTACTTATCGTATCATACCGTATCGTATCGCATCGTTTCTGCAGTATCCGCATCCGCTTCCACATCCACATCCACATCCACATCCACATCCACAAGCTCGAGCTTTTGGTTCTTCAATCGTGGACTGGAGCTTCTTCCTCCTCCTCCTCCTCCACCTCTTCCTCCTCCTCCTCCCCCTTCCCCCCCCCCACCCCCATCAACCCCGACCCCAAAGCCAGCCAGCCAGGCTTGGACAGAGCAGTATAGATAGATAGTACTTACTGCACGGGCACTGGCTCCCGTATGTACTACACCAACACCACGGCATCGGTAAACTCCCTGTCAGCACCGCTTAGGAACCAACGCTGCGCAGTGGAGGATTTGAGTCCAAGCACGCTTCCTTCAGACGACATACAACTACTACTACCTACCTCCCTCCCCTTACCTACCCCACTGACAACATCGACAATCGCAATTGATTATTGTTCGGTCCGGACAAGGAGACCCAAGAGACCCGAGATCCGAGATCCGACCGTTGTCGGTCCACTCAAGTACTACGTACGTTCTGCTTGCTTGCTCTTGCATTCCTGCCCTGCCAATTGAAAATAATTCGTTTGTTTTCGAGTCGCGACTCGTCTCGAAGCTTGCTGTGGGATGCCAGAAGTCCCATCTCCCTCCGAGGAACGTGTCCATCACGCGACTATCGGTACGAGACGAGACGAGTGATTTTATAGCAACGTTCGCTGTCCGCTCTATCACGTTCTTCTTCTCGGTCTGTCAAAGTTGTCAAAGATCCAAGATATCCGATTAGCAGCAGCTGAGAAGCGGAGCGGAGCGGGTCACGCTCACGGTCACGCTCACGGTCACGCTCACGGTCACGCTCACGGTCACGAGCTAGCTCTTAGCTCTCTGGGGCCGCCGTTCTTTATCTGTCTCCGTTCCGTATTACTTCGGTCGCCTTAGGTTCCGTTCCTAGCCCTGCTGTTGTGCGTGCTGTCTAATTGAATTCCCAGTTGCAGGCTCGGAGAAGCTCTAGTTCGACTCGAGATACCCATCCCACCGGACCCCGGAATCCGTCCGTACAGCCAGGCCAGCACTTGCGGCCCGCTGCGATCAGAGCGAAATCGCGGCTGCTGCCGCTCTAACACAGGCATACACACGCGTGTTTATTCTTTGACCCCTTACGACGTCGGACTGACGGATACCTTCAGACCACGAGAGATAACGATCTTGGATTATCTTATCAGGCCCTGATCGCTCGCAATTGGAATGGTTTCCTTGTAGTCGCGTCCACCATTGAATTTCGATATAGGGCAATGCCGGCTTGTTCATCTCGGCCTCACCTACATCCTGCATCGATATCTTATGCCCCCCCAAGGACAGTCGCAGTTCGCCTCGTTGTCACTCTGCCTCTGAGTCTTCACCACGACGCTCGGCCTGGGCATTGACATCCGCCAGACGCTACTACACTAGTGCATACTTATAGAACCTCGCCATCTAGTCACGCTAGTGCAGGGACTGAGATCCCTCGAGCTCGATATACCTCGTGGTCTCGCCATGTCGTTGTAGCTAAGTGACTTATCACTCCACCCATTACCCGCTCACGACCCTTAGTATCGTGTGCATGGAAATCGGATCGCCGTTCCAAGGGTACCTTCCACCTGAGGTCAATATCTCGGCTTTCGAAGGCTGGCTCTGGTAGTCGAGTGGTATCGCAACATGAAGCTCTTGTCAAATCTTCATTGAGCCGTCTCGGGAGTTTTGCTAGCTAAGCCATGGAGAATTGCGATGAGTTTCTTGAAGCGAGCCCGCCCAATAGCCCGGAGCACAGTGTTGGCCCACACGAGGAACAAGATCGAGAAGTTAGAAAACCTGGATCAAAAGGCAAAGGGCGGAAGAGGACCAAGACCGGTTGTTTGAGTACGATACACCCGACCGTTGAGCGATCCCTTGAGGTTTTTGGCTGATGATTGACTTTGCAACTATAGCATGTCGAAAGCGTCGCATCAAATGTGGAGAGGAGAAGCCAACGTGTAAGTGCCCACTGGAAGACTTCCACCGCGCCCTCGGTATCTTGCGCCTGAGATACTTACGCCCCATGTTGTAGGCGCAAACTGTGCAAAGTCAAAACGCCAGTGTGAAGGATACAACATGAGAGTTGTATTCAAAGACCCCATGAGCACTTACCATCCGAGCATGGGCCCTCCTCCTCCCCCTCCGTATCTTCCCAAGGGTCAATCTTCGAGTCGGCGCGAATCACATCCTCAACCAGGCTCTGGACAGGTCCCACTCCCGATTGCCCCGAAGCCTAGCAAGGCTTTCTCGGCCTCGCTGACATCCGAGCAAGCCGCCGCTTGCCGAGGCAACGAGCGGCGAGGCTCGGCTGAGGACATATTGCCAAGCAATTCGAGATACAACAACAGAGAGAAGCCTAGGCTCAAGATACATCTTCAGGATAAGGTCTTGGACCGCACTGGTGATGCGCACGTCTTGGATTCGCTCGAAGAGCAGGAATCCCATTATGACTTCAATGCTTTGGTACAGCAGGAGGGCGTAGAGAGCGCGGAGAACCATGCTTATACTCCTTCTCGAACATATTCGTCAGACTGGTCTGGTGTCCCAACTCGTGCGTCCCTCTTCAATCCGTTTCATTTTTTTATACTTCTAACTTTTGCTTGGCGAAACAGCATTATCTTCTCAGCCACATCACCTTCCGACGAAATGGGATTCGGATTTTTTGACTACATTCGGGAACCCGTTCCCGGCTCCGGACCATATTACGCTTACTTCCCCAAGGACACCCCAAGTTGAAAGTTTTACACATCAGCTCGTACACCCACAGCCTACGTACCCACGAGACTGGAAAGGAGGGCATCATGCTCAGGTTTGTCCTCCTCAGACACCTGACTGGAGCCTGAGCCAGCCACAACGCGTTCCTACAGCAAACGATATGGAAGATCTCGACGATCCATTTGATGTCTCCGATGGTGATGAAGATATGGATATGGCAGAACACGATCATTTTGCGCATGGTGACCAAGATATCCACCTCAAAAAGAATGATCTTGGCATCGTTGTAGCAGTGCAAGCTGGACAAGACAAGCAAGGGCTCAATCTCCGATCCTTCGTATCTTTCATCGACCGTCCCGACATGTTGGCTACCTACACGCCATCGTCGCAGTCGACTCCTTTACGAGACCCAATGACCGCAAGGATATTCTGTCACTTCGTCAATGTCACCGGTCCTAGCATGTCTATGTACGAGAGGCACCCTGCCAACCCTTCGTTGATCTTTCAAGGATCCCCAGTACTGAAGTCCCAACAGCATATATGGACCTGTAAAGTTTCCATCTCTGTACCCCAAGACCACTTGGCTGACGATCATACGCAGATACATTTCCGACTCTTGCTCTCCAAAATTCTGGGCTTTTACATGCCATGCTTGCCATAGCAACTTTACATATATCAAAACTCCAAAGCGGACCAGTCACAGCTTCGTATAAACACTACGCCCTGAGTCTTCGCAGGATAGCCAAGAGCGTTAGCCTACCTACTCGTCGAGGACATCCGGCCACACTCGCCGCAGCGTTACTACTCTCGTTCTACGAGTGTTGGGCTGCCGACCACCAGAAATGGACTGATCATCTACTCGGAGCAAAGCAACTGGTCAAGGAGATCGACTTCGCCGGGCTGACCGGACACATTAAGCGAAAGCGAGACCGAAAACGACAACATGATATCGAGAGGTTCAACTACGCGCAAAATCATGGGCTTGAGTTTGACTTTGACGAACAGAGCCATACTAACCCCGCAGATGAAGTGGACGAAAATGTCGTCGGGGTCTTGATGGGGACCAAAGTTAGTTATAATGATTACGGAAAGGTTCTAGGCGACAGTCAGTCACATCAAAGCCGGGAAAAGTATTACACGGAAAGGGATGTAGAGATATATGAGACACAGCGGGATCTCTTTTGGTGGTACGCTAAGCAAGATACCTACCAAAGTATTCTTGGAGGGGGTAAGCTCTTGTAGGTATCTTTCAACTTTCGAACAGACCACAAGCTGATAAGGGGTAGTCTGGAGTACTCGTTTTGGAGTCATTGCCCACCAAGAGCGCCATTGGGACGCCTCAATGCCATGTAAGAGGCGCGCAACTACACTTCGTCGACCTGGCTAACAACTTCCAGCTATGGCACGTTCGATCATATGATCCTCCTCTTGGGCCGCCTTGCAGACTTTGCATCCAAAGATTTGAAGAGGAAACGCCTAGCGATGAAGGTCAATGGTGGACGTTGGCAGCCTCCAGCATCGATGCAGGCACAACCACCACCGAGACGGCCACCAGAGCAGAGCACGCCTCACACGCCTCACACGCCGCAACACCCGCCCCCGCAGATGCCGAACTTCAGCGGCATGGTCCCGGACGTCAGAGAGCCCCGACTCCCCATGGGCTTCGAGCCCTTGTGGGAGGCCTCGCCCCAAGAGACCCATAGCGAGGACGCCGACCTGTACACGCAAACCCACGCCGCCAACGAAGAATGGCAAGAGATCCGCGACGCATTCGACTTGATCCAAAGCCACTTCGGGGATGATTTTCAAGCCTTGGGCCCCGAGTTCACAGCACCGATCCCAACCCCTTTTGGGCCCGCGCTGCAATACCGAACGTACGGCATCGCGGGCATCTGGATGAACTTCTACATGGGCCTCATCACCTGTTACCGAGCGCACCCGTCCATGCCTCCGGCCGCGATCATGGCAGCCGGGATCTCCGCCCCGCAAACGGGCCGGTTCGCGAACGAGCTGGGCAGGATCGCGGCGGGCATCGCGCCGGATCTGAGCATGACCACCGAAGTCAACCCCGGCGTCGGGGCGGCGCTGATGGAGTCGTCGACCTGCATGTTCGTGTCGGCTGTGCAGCTTCAAGTCGCCAGCCAGCGCGAGTGGACCGTCTGTCGCCTCCGCGACATCGCCCGCCTGACCGGCTGGCAGACGGCCCTCGCCGTCGCCACGGGCTGCGAGACGTCCTGGGTCAAGATGGGGGAGCTGGGGAGGGGGCCCCCGTATACACGCACCACGGAACGGAGAGTCGTGCCTGATATCTGGGCCAGCGCCAGGCGCATCGATGTGGCGCTGGAGGGGAAGACGGACGAGGAGAAGATGCTGGTGATGGCGAAGTCGGATCGTGTACAATATGCGCTGGGCGTCCTCGGCCTGGAGGAGGATTTTGAAGGCCTGGATGTGGGACGTCAACAGCGATGATGGACCCATGAGTGACCCGAAGCGGGCGGTCTTATATATATATATATATATATATATATACATATATATATATTTGTGTTTGTCGTGTTTGCGGGATATCAATTTGGGCGGCTAAATTTTTTTTTTTTTTTTTTTTGTTCTGCATTTCAGCTGGGTGGGTGAACGAGTCTCGGTTTAGCGACGGATGGATGCATGCATGGTAGAGCTGCGAAGGCAGGGCGTGGGCATGACCGAACATATTTATATCAGGAGCTTTAATTGTACTTCTATGTACGATTGAGAAGAATCGGAGTGGAGTTGAATACCTTTGCTGCACCTGAACTGGAACTTGAACTGCACATTGGGTGAAATGTTCTCTGCTTTCTTTATGTTTGACGACTTTGTTGTCCATCATTAACCCCGTAGCTCCTCTCTAGCATGCCTGCCTGCCTGCCTGACTCCCCGCGTCACAACCGAAGCCTGTCATGGTTCAATTCACAGGTAATCTGCTTACAACGGCGGCCATCTCTGCATCTGTGTAGATCCGGAACCCTCTCTCCTTGGTCACACTGGCCAACTGGACGTTCTTCGAATCGAGCTTCTCCTCCATGACCTGCTTCAGCGTCTTCAGGACCAGCGTCTCGGCCTCCTCGATGGTGAGGGACTGTAGTTTCCCACCGTCAGTTTCAGGCTCCAGGTACAAGGTACAATTTTGGGCTACGTGGGCACTTCTCCCGTACCTTGTGGAACTCGTTCTGCAACTCAGCCTGCGCACCCTCCGAACCCGACCCGATAGCCTTCGCGTCATACCTGTAGAAGGTGCCACTGGGCTCCGCATGGTACAGCTGCGGCCCATCCTCGTCATAGCCCGCGATCAGCAGCGCCACGCCGAACGGTCTGCTCATGATGCTCTCCTCGCCGTCGGCGCCCTCGCCGAACCGCAGCGCCAGGTCGCAGATGGCCTGCGTGCAGCTCTCGACCCGCAGCGGCTCGTTGTAGTGGAAGGCGTGGTTCTGGCTCTCGACCCGCGCGTGCTCGACCATGGAGCGGGCGTCGGCCTGCAGGCCGGACATGGCGCAGCCGATGTGGCGGTCGATCTCGACGATCTTCTCGACCGACGACGTCTCGAGGAGGGTGGACGTGACGCGCTTCTCGACGCCCAGGACGACGCCGCCGCCCGTCGCGACGCCGATGGCGGTGCTGCCGAGCTTGATTGCTTCGAGGGAGTATTCGACTTGGAAGAGGCGGCCTTCGGGGGAGAAGGTGCTGCGTGGGTGTGTTAGACCGGGGGGTTGGTTTGCCAGCAGCTTTGCTTTCTCTTCTGGGAGAGGGGTTTCTGGCATGGCATGGAATGAACGTACTTGATACCCCGATCTGTCAATTGTTAGATTCTGAGCCTTCAAACTCTCCAGAAGTCCGTGGTGGAGCTCGGGGGGGGGGAGGAGGGGGGCACTTACCATATTCTGAACGAGCGATAAACATCTTTGACGGTCTGAAGTGGTCGACGGGTGGGAATTCGTGGGAGATGGGTTGGATGTGAAGCTGCAAGAACTTCGGCAGATTATCGTGATATGTTTCCCTTGGAGATTCGATGGTGGTGGTGAGAAGACGAGGAGTTCCAGAGGGGTGGTCGCAGTTGTAATCGCTCTCCAGGCATTCCCATCTACGCAGCTCTCTGACCGTTCTGCGCTAGCGAGGCACTAGCCCCAAACGCGAGCCATGATCAGAAGCGCGTCTTCCAGCCCAGAGTCAACATCGAATCTCACCGCCGCAAACGAAAGCCGGCTTCTCGACTTCCGCGCGCCGACCAATTATTCCGATTCCGATTCCGACTTGCGAATGAATGCGAAGTCATGTCTTCTTCCTCTTCGCACGCCAGAGTATCCTCGCGCAGCGACCGCAGGACCGCGACCGAAAATGGGAGTGTCCAACCCCGCGTCTCCTCCAGCCAACAATCCAATCGAGGCGAGAGGCCGGATCCCAGGGCACAGCATGGGGAACCGCACTCGCCGCAGCCTTCTACGTCTGCTGGGAGCCACCGGAGGACGCCGTCGGGTGCCCATCGCCTGAAGCCGGGCGTGGAGGAGCGGAGGACGGAGAGGGTGCTGGTCACGACGAAGGAAACTGTTACGCGCCGCACGCGGAGTCCGGAGAGGAGGCCCAGTGCGATGCAGCCCCAGGAGAGGCCGAAGCCGGAGAATAGCAGGATGCACGCGGGGGCCGATGCCAGGTCGAAGTCTACCAAGGTGGAAGCGCCTCCGCTACCGTGGGCACCGGAAGCGTGTCTGGTTCCGCATACGACTGCTCCTCTGGCCTCGAGGATCTCTGTGCCGCCGCTCTCGTCGCAAGCGCCTCTGGCACTACAGCCTCGGCCTCTGCACGAGCTGTCTCTGGAAGTCCAAGAAGCGGCCGTGTTGGAGGACTTGCTATTTGTGTTTATGGGCTACGAGGGACAATACGTCAGGTTTTCGAAGAATTATAATCCATCTGTGGAGAGGGATCGCCTCGCCGGACCCGGCTTTAAGATTCTGCCAGGATTGGATCCGAGCCTACAAGATCTAACAACCACGATGTTGAAGATGGCTACCCACTACGGAGCTGTGGAAGCCTTTGTGGAAGTGCAGAGTCGGGAAGAGTTCGGGGCTGTAAATCATGCTCTCTGTGCGGCCATCCGAAAGTTGCTGCAGGACTACTTGATTCTGGTCGCCCAACTCGAGACACAATTTCTCACTAACCCTTCCTTCACACTGCATGTCCTGAACCTGCATACACTTCCGACGAGCCACATGATGTCCCAGGTTTACTCTTTGGCCCACGAAATCTTGAAACGGAACTCCCTGCTGGAAGATGACGACGAAGACGATGGGCTTGACGACATCGAGAACATATTGGAGAGCTTGCGGGACAAGGGCGACCTGGGGCCCGGGAACATACCGGGGAAAAAGATCTGCAAAGGAGGCAGCGTGTTAGGGCTCATCACGAAGCGGCTGGAATCAATGTCCGGGGATCCTGCTGCAAGGTCGCTTCTCACATCACTGTTACGGGATGCTAGTCGTCCGTATATGATGATGCTGAATGAGTGGCTGCATCATGGAAGTATCAAGGACCCACATGCGGAATTCTTGGTTCGGGAGCAGAAGAGTATGACACGTGAGAAACTGGTGGAGGACTACACTGACGAGTACTGGGAGAGACGGTACACTTTGCGGGATCAGGATGTTCCGCCACAGCTTCAAGGAGTCAAGGACAAAGTTCTGCTGGCGGGCAAGTATCTGAATGTGGTGAGGGAGTGCGGTGGTGTCGATGTGAGCAAAGCAGTTATAGATGTTCCGAGGTCGTTTGACGACAATCGATTTTTGGAAAATGTCAACAGCGCCTATGCTCATGCCAACGAGTCGTTGCTGAAACTTCTCCTGACAACACATGCCCTACCTGCACGATTACGATCCTTGAAACATTACTTCTTCCTGGACCGGTCCGATTTCTTTTCGTACTTCTTGGAGCTTGGGGCTTCCGAATTGCGGAAACCGGTCAAAAATGTCAACACGGGCAAATTGCAGTCCCTGCTTGATCTCGTCCTCAGACAGCCAGGCAGCGTGGCTGCCCAGGATCCGTTCAAAGAAGATATCAAGATCGAGATGAACGAGGTCAGCTTGACGAACTCACTGACGCGGGTGGTCAACATTTCGGGGATGGAGCAAGGCGAGTCTTTCCAAACAACCGCCGCTCAGCCGACCAACGACAATGATAAAGCCGCCGTTGGGTTTACGTCGCTCCAGCTGGACTACTCGGTCCCGTTTCCGGTATCGCTTGTCATCAGTAGGAAGACCGTATGGAGATATCAAGCATTGTTTCGATACCTTTTGTCCCTGAGGCATCTTGAACAGCAGTTGGTTTCATGTTGGCAGACGCACAACAGATCAGCCAGCTGGGCTCACAAGAGCTCGAATTCGACAGTGGAGATGTGGAAACGGCGGGTTTTTACCCTGCGTGCTCGTATGCTCGTGTTTGTTCAACAGCTTTTGTATTTCTGTACAGCGGAGGTCATTGAGCCGAACTGGCAGGCACTGATGGCTCGACTGAACGCAAAAGAGGACAGCAAGGGTGGTGCGACGCCTGTACGAACGGTCGACGAGCTTATGCAAGATCATGTCGATTTCCTCGATACCTGTTTGAAAGAGTGCATGCTTACTAACAGCAGGCTGCTGAGGGTAAGCTCAACACAATCTTATGTTCTGCTTCGGAGCTTCGGGTACTGACCCTATTTTTTTCTTAGATCCACTCGAAGCTTATGCAAACATGCACATTCTTTGCAACATACACCGGCTGGCTTGCCCGCGAGCTAGAAAAAGCAGACCCAGACATGTCAGCGGCAGAGAGGCCTTCATCGATGAACAAACAGCATTGGGCACGCTTCCAAAGCGAAATGGCACAGCGACATAGTGACTCCACATCTTCCAATCCGCCAACGCCCCCCACAAGCGAAAAGGAACGGCAGGAGAAGCTTGAAAGGATGTACGAGATTATCAAAAAGTACGAAGACAACTTCAGCCGGCATCTGCAGATTCTGCTTGATGCACTGAATCATTACGCCGCGACGGAGACAGTGGTGTTGCTGGGGCTGTGTGCGAGACTGAGTACTGCCAACCAGGGAACGCAGTACAGCGGGCTGAGAGCAGATGAGGATGGTGGAGAGTCCGGGCGATGATGAGACTACGAAAGTTTTGCAGCGTGTTATTGTGATTTTTTGATTTTTTGAAATTTTCAAATTTTTTTTTTGGAGGGGGGGGGGGGGACTTCGGGATGGGCGTCAACGATATCCAGCATGGCATTGGTTTTGTTTTGGGACGATAGGGGGTACATAGAACTGGGCGTTCTGATCTCGAGGAGGCATCTTCAACCGGGTATGGCCTCTGATCTGCATATGGGAACGTAGTCTGTAAAAATGGGGCAGAGCATGCATGCACTTACTGCGATTTGTTCAATGTCGAAACTTCGTGTACTTTTTTTTTTTTTTCTTATTGTTGTTGTTCGAGTTTTTATTGTTGTTGTCTTTGACTGATTCCAATCCCAAATCATCTAGTCACGCTCGTCAGGTTTTCTCATGCAAGGGACATATTGTAATTGTACGTTACGCCGCGCGAAAGTCCGAGCGGCTTTTATGAAGGGTGCGAAAGTCCGAAGCCCGAAGCACACTCACGTCGATGCAGCCGGGTCGGGTCGGGTCGAGGTCCAATGACAACTCGTCCGTTTCTCGAGATGTTCAGCCGCTCAATCGTTCATTCGCTCGAGGGAGGGAGAGAGAGACGATGGTGGTTTTTGCCTTGTGGTTGTTTCTGATGCCTGGAATCATATATATAGGTATGTATCAGCAAGCACTCGATGTTTTTATTCCCATACTCTTCCATCTCTTCCATCGCAACTCTCTCTCCCCGTCTTCAACGCAAGCAAAGCATCTTCCAGCCAAGAATGGATTACCCATACTCAACCTTTGCCGCCAGTCGTGGCTACACTTACAGCTACATCCACCTCACACCGCGAGACTCTTCCAAACCCTACCTGCTCTTCCTCCATGGCTTCCCGGGCTCCTCGTACGATTGGCGCCATCAAGTGCCCTACCTCGCCCAGAGGGGCTATGGAATCATAGTCCCTGACCTCCTCGGCTACGGACGCAGCTCGAAACCACTTGACATGAACGCATATCGTGCGAAGGGCATGTCAGAAGATCTCGTGGAGCTGTTGGCGAGCGAGGGAATCACTCAAGTCATCTGTGTCGCGCACGATTGGTGCGTAATTCTCTCCCCTCCCGCAACCCTTCTCCGGATCCGAAGCGGCTGAAATCACATCACATCTGTTTGATGTCGTGTCCCTGCCCCGGTACTGATGTACGTTTGTGTATGTGTAGGGGATCCTTCTTGGCGTCCAGGATGGCCAACTACGTCCCTGATCTCTTCCGCAAGATCGCGTTCCTGGATGTGGGATACTCGGCGCCCGGGCAGGGCCTCACCACGCAAGTGATGGGTTCCGTGAATGCGTCCATGGAGAAAGCCATGGGCTATGCGTTGTTTGGGTACTTCCTGTTCTTTGACGAGGAGGATGCTGCGGCGCTCATGGATGCCCACGTGAGGAAGCTCTCTCCTCGCTCCCCCAGCCGGCCCCCTGCCCGAGGAGGAATGGTTGTGGGCGAAGTAGCAGACTAACATGGCTCTAGGTGGATTCCGTACAGTCATTGATGCACTCCAGCGACAACGAGCTCGCAAAGCAGCACATGGGCGCTACCGGTGGCATGAGGCAATGGCTTAACGAAGGCCGAGTTGCCGAGCGGGAGGAATGGCTTGAGCCGGAAGTGAGCCCGTCCCATCTCTCTCTCTCGTTTCCAGAAACCCGTTCGTTGCTTCCCTCTCGACTAACGAGCCCAACCAAACACAGGCCATCCAACATGACCGTTGGCTTTTCGGCAGAGAGAACGGCGGGTACGCCACAGCCATCAACTGGTACAGAGCACAGCTCCGGGGCTTCAATGCCGAGGACGACGGCGGTAAGTAGGCCGCCCATCCCCCCGTCTCTCCTCTCCACTCGCTCGCCGCCCACCTTCGCGCGGGCCGAGGCTGATGACCCGATCTCTATGTGCAGCAATCTCCGAGGCGAGCACTATCCTCAAGCCGCCCGTCCTCCTCGTCACGACCGACAACTTCATCAGCGCCGCGGCCGATATGGCAGGTCAGATGAAAGCCTCCGCTCCGCAGCTCGAGGTGAGGAAGCTGGCGGCCGGTCACTGGGTGATGTTGCAGCGGAAGGCGGAGGTCAACGCCATTCTGGCGGAGTTTGTGGCGGATATCCGGTAGATGGGGTTAGATGCCGAGGGATTTGCTTCTCTCTCTGTGTGCATGTGCATGTGCATGTCAGACATGCGGCAGCAGGCAGTCTGTCTATTTATGATACATGACTTGACTTGTCGACGTTCCTTCTGGGATCTCTCCTCTCTTTTGTTTCGCTGGTTTTTTTGGGGGGGGTCTCGCTAGTGCTTGATTAAATAAGCGAGCGCGCGAGCGAAGCCTTCCAGAACTACCTACCTAACTTATCAGCCATGCCATTTCCTTTTCCATTTTCCTTCCCCTTTCCCTTCCCCTTTCCCTTCCGCCCACCAACATCATCATTCATCTTTCACCTTTCAAAGAGATACATACATACATACCACCACCACCACCACCCCATACCGAACCCAATTTAAAAAAAAAAAAAAAAAAAAAAAAAAAAAAATTACCAAAGCTTGATATTCCTACAACAGCTTCTCATCATCTCAATCACCATCACTCATCGCCATCAATCATCAATCTTCAAATCGATTCACGTCATGCGTCCCAGTCATGCGTCCCAGGTAAGGTACGTACGTAGCTAGAAAGAGAAGCAAGCAGTGCAGCCAGATCAGGTCAGATCAGATCAGCTCAGCTCAGCTCAGCTCAGTTTGTTTTTTTATGGATTCATCCAATCGCACAATAGAGAGATAGACAGATAGACTGACAGACAGACAGACATGGACACCCAGAATAGGTAGCTCCCATCCCATCCAATCCCATCCAATCCAAACCTCGAGACTGGGTGATTGATTGAAATCCTAGGAGAGAGAGAGAGAGAGAGGGAAAGAGGGAATCTGTGTAGATGATGGGCTGATTGATACAGGTGGGCTGGGTAGGCTGTTCGAGAATCGAGAATCGGGAAAGAAAAAGACCTTCTTGCCTGGGTTTGGAGGGTGTGTGGTTGGCGGGGGGGGGGGGGGGCGTAGGTATGTACGTATGTGAAGCGGGAGGAGGCGAAACCGACGAGAAGGTACGCTCTCTCTACCGCAGGGAGTGAGTATCCTCTGCATACCTCTCTATACACATGCCTAGCACGAGAGAATATACATCCTAGTCTGGTAAGGCTTCACCGTTCTCACTTGCAAACACAGATGGGCGTGACAGAACAGAAAAAGCCAGTTTATTTATCTCAGATTCAACCATCTATCTCTTCACGAGAACTCCTGTAGAATGCCAGTGTGCGTTCACATCCCATCCCGTCCCATCCCGTCCCATGCCGCTTGATACACCTGGTATATTCCCATCCGGAACGCCACAATCCGTCATGGAATCAATAATGTGTGTGTGTGCAGTCTCAACCCTCTATCTTTATGTATGTCGCTCAAAACGCCAGCGCACTTGCCCTCCGTTATAAAAACCGACGCGAACAAAGAGAAGGAAGGGGCCAAAAGCAAAAGCAAAAGCAAAAGCAAAAACCCTCAAATCTACTTGAACAAACTGCGCAGGTCCTCTAGTCGCTTCTTCGCAGCCTCGACCTTATCGATACGTCCTCGGCCTTCAGAGTCCATACTCAACTGGGCAAGTTTCTTCTTCTTGTCCTGGAGAACCAGCATCTTCTCCTCGAAGCTATCCTTCATGATGTACCGAACCGTCGTAACTTCTCGTTTCTGGCCAAGGCGGTGAACTCGGTCGACGGCCTGTGCTTCCGCCGCTGGGTTATACTGGGGCTCCATTACGTAGACTTTGTTTGCTGTAGTCAAGTTGAGGCCGAGACCGCCGGCCGTGATAGAGACGAGGATAACGGTAATTGCGGGATCTTCGCGGAAAGAATCCATTGCGGCTCCGCGGGCAGTTCTCGACATCTTGCCGTCAAGGCGGGTGTATGTGATGCCATTCTCTTGGAGAGCGATCTGGATCAGATCAAGATGTGCTGTCCAGCCAGAGAAGATGACGCTCTTGATGGGAGGCTCGCCGGGCATCGCTTGGGACTCTTGTTGCGATAACAGGAGATCATGGATCAACGCCTTGGTCTTGGTGTGCGGACCACCGTAACCGTTTGCTTCCTTGCCACGCTTCGCCTCCTTAGTCTTCTGCTTGTAAGCTTCTTGATCATCGAGCCCACCTTGACGAAGCGGGAAGTAGAATAGCTTGATATATGAAGAGCAGATTGGGCAGTGGACTTGTGGCTGGCCTCGAGCTGCCTCTTCAACTTCAGCTTTGTAGCCGGCGATGCAAGTATTGCAGATAATGTGGTAGCAAGGCGTCATGTGTCCAATAATTTCATCTTTGCTTTCCCCCTCGGATTCAGCATCGCTAGGGCCGATTTTGCGTTGGCATGTTAGACAAACGTCGGTATTTGTTTCTTTCATCAAGTTGTACATGTCATATGCTTGTCTAGAGGACAGAGCTGGCTGATCGTCGCCATCGTCGTCACTATCGAGGTCTATCGCCGAATCCTTGCAGAGACCGTTCATGACCTTCAGATCCTCTTCATTCAGCAGATCTTTGCCATGAGCACATATCAACCGCAGTCGGAGAATAGACTGGAGAATGTGGACATATGACTTTCCACTCAATGATTTCTCCCTCGACCCAACAATCACTTTGACTCGATCGCTTGCATTCTTCGCAAAGATCTCGTAGATGTGACGCTCCTCGGGATTGAAGTCAAGCTTCACGAGCTGGTCGTGGCGTTTAGGCAAGTCGATTCGGTCCTTGAGACGTCTGAGAGTAATGCTATCGACAAGCAAGCGCAACTTTGGCAGAATTTCGGGATCACACAGCTTGAACGGAGACATAATGTACTGAGAAAAGCCGCCTTTCTCGTCAAAGGGCTTGATGCGAAGGAAGGACATCAAAGCTCCGAGGTCTTCCAGGCGATTCTGTACGGGCGTCCCGGTGACAGCCCATCGCCGGTTAGCCGAGAGTCTGCAAATCGACTTGGACTGTTGAGTTGACTGCTCACGGATCATGTGCGCCTCATCGAGAACTATGCGGAACCAATTCATTTCCTCCAGAGGATACACGCCTGGCTTCCCTTTGCTCCTATTACCGAACTCGCTGGCGACAGATCCGTAAGTTGTAATGACAATGTCGAACTCTGCGAGCCTCTTTACATCCTTGATTCGGTTGCCACCGTGGTAAATATAGTAGTTCAGGCTTCCCGGCTTTACATGCTGCTTCATTTGCTCCTCCCAATTGGCAATAGTACTGAGGGGAGAGACTAGAAGTGTTGTCTTACAGTTCATAACCAAGGGGACCTGCTCGAGCTTCGGAAGCGGCACCTTGTTTTTGCCCTTCCTAACGGCGCAAAGATCTCTATTGTCTTTCGGTACGCACGGCGACTGCTTTGTCCACTCCACAGCTTCATTATCGAGAGTCTGTGTCACCAGACTGATGATCTGAAGTGTCTTTCCGAGACCCATCATATCAGCCAGGATTCCTCCGAGAACCTGCGGAGGACTCTGTCTCTCCTCCTGACCCGTGATAACGTTGTAGTAAGTCCGTTGGCCACTTGCAGAGATGTTAAGTCGCCAGAGAGAACTATTGCCTTTCTCATCAGCACCAAAGACCCGAGCCTTCTCCTTGTTTGTCATGAAGTAGAGGCCCTGCTTCTGATGTTTTAAAAGCTCCGTTGTAATCCTAGCATCTGCTTCCATCTCCGGCAAGTTCTCGGAACGCTCCAAGGAGTCAAACATACCCAGAATGTCATTGCGAATCTCCTCTGTAGTTCGAGCCGGGCCTTGCTGCCGCGATCCGTAGCTGCTGTATAGCCGAGGTGGAGGTTGCGGGGGCTTTTGAATAACATGGGGATTGTGAAGCTCAACTCCAGCTTCGAGCATAAGTGGCGTTCGAAGCCAAATATTCTTTTGAGACAGGTGTCTGCCAATGTTCAACGCGTACTTCTTCAGGCCCATGAGATTCAGATCAATCTGATAACGGCGAGATGTTTCAGTACCGGGTGCCTCATCACCATTTCTCTTAGGTCTGGTGAGAATTCTCGCGTCTGTCCGAAGTTGAAATTTCGCGTCCATGATAGGGGCTAAACCGAGAGCGGTATTAGTGTCCAAGCAGCCTATGATTGTTCGGCTTGCATCAATGGCATGTATGATGTTGCCCGCCTCACCGGTTCTTCGTCGTAGCACAATCTTGACCTGTGGCCAGTAGTCATTTGACATTGTGACAGAGCCTGCTTTTGGCATGGGCACCCTATGACAGTTTATTTCGGCGTTTTCCACTGATTTCATATTAGCTAAAATTTCCGTGAATTTTCCATGGCCTGAGGCTCGAAATCTCCTCGTGATTGAATTGAGAAGTTTGTGAGGGATATGCATACCGCGTCCATAACAGACTTCCTTGTCCCCCGAGTCCTTCAAAATCTCTACCTCGTCTTCATCATCGATAGTGACGGGTCCGGTTCCTTTCATCATGGCTTCTTTTCGTCCCTCCTGCCTCTTCTCCCTCATATACTCGCCCAGGGGTCCACTATTCTGCCCTCCACCGAACTCTGCCTTTCTTTGGCTCTCCGGCCTATCATCTACCACCTTTCTACGCTTCTGGGGAATCATACTCCGGTCCATTACTTTGTGTACTGAATCCAGCATGATTCCCATTCCCCCATTCATCTGGCTCTTATTGGCGTAGTCGGCAGCTTTACTCCCATTGCCGTTCCCATTCCCATTTATTTTACCGGCTCCGTTCTGATGACTGCGGTCGTTCGATACCAGGGGCGCATGGTATGGTTCATGGTATAACTGCGGCGATCCTGAAGGGCTGTCGAACAAGAAGCCCTGAACTTGTGGGTGTTGGGGCTTGCTGGTGAAGCTATTCGTAACGGGACGTGGTTGCGCCGAGCTAAAGCCCCGAGGATCCAGTAGGGCTCTCGGGTCGTATTGCTGCTGCATGGGCAAAGCAGGTAGCCCTCTAGCATTCATGGGTAGATTGTTCGACGTTCGATGAGCGTCATGGCCGTCCGTAGAACTATTACGCTGTGGAGACATGTTGGTATGCATGAGAGGTTGCTGTCCGAGGTGAGGCTCCGTCGCTTGCTGCCGCGCGCCACTAGATGGCGAGGTACCGTGGAAGTCCATCTTCCCAATCCACCGTGACTGCTCGTTCTTGCAGCGGGCGCTTGCATGTAGATATAGTGGGATTGTTGTCGTTGTCGTTTCCCAGCTTGCCGGTGGGATGGAGTCGCATCAGGGAGGAGCTAGGCTACGCTGTGATGAAGATGAAGCCATAAAGGAAAGGAAGGTTGTGGCAACTCAGGGAGGTGAGAACGAGTGAATCGAATCCCGCGGAAGCAGCGTTTTTTGTTTCTGCAATCCGAGGCCGAGATGCGGTATTGGGTATTATTTTGCCTCGGACGTTGTTAAAAGGTGAAGGGTCGCGGGGACAGGTTTCGGCGATAACTACGAGGTAGAGTATTTGGTGGCAACGATGATGCTCGGACTAACGGCAGAGCAATAGTAGCTATGGGAGAGGGGAGGAGCTGCTGAAGTTCGATTTCAGATATTCCAGTTGGTTCCTGACGAGGTGTTCGTATCACACGAAGCTGACGAAGTTACCATGTAATTAATTCAAGAAGGATAGGTACGGTATCGGGGTTTTGAACTTTTGACTTTGATCGGGTACACTTCTTTTCTACCTATAGTACTATCCATCCCGCCCGTCAAAAAGAGAGTAGGTACATATTCGGTTCGACACTCTTTTCAATTACATTCTAAGGTATCGTGAGATAATAAATAGTAAGTCAATTTGAAGAAGAATATTGCTATCGAAGGGTTTAGCATTTGAAATATCGATTTGATGGACTGTATATAAACCCTCCGCTTGCACGTCTCCATATCCCTTGGGGGTTCTCCAGAGTCAAGACGAGGAGCGCATGCTATGCTTTTAGTCCGCTAAACATTAATAAATACAACAATAACAACAACAACAACAACAACAACAATGATAATAACAACAACAATTCCTTCCTTCTTTCCTTCCTTCTTTCCTTCCTTCTTTCCTTCCTTCTTTCCCTTCTTCCTTCCTTCAAGCTCTTCCCTTCTCAACTTTCATTCCTTTTAACTCTCTGGTGCTGGTACTGGTACTGGTACTCGTTCTGGTGCTCCAGTAATATCCCACTCCAACCAGTTAACGATCTTGTATTCACTTAGCTCATCTGCTGTTTTCCAGCATTTAGCCGATAGATCCAACACTTTATTGTTGTTTACTGCGTCGATTGGAATATTCATGACCAGCTCCGATTCGTATTTTGAAACATATGAAAAGCGTAGTGCCCTCCACGGGTCTGCTAACAATACTGATTCGATATAGTCCAGGAGAGCTTCGTCTTGGTCGTACCATAGTGACTCCTCCCTACCAGGTACTGTTTGTGGGATCCATATTTTGTTTATCTCCTCAAGCTTTTTACTATCCGCTTCGATAACACAATACCATTCTTCTGCTGTTGCCCGCCATCTAGCAGGTTTATTTGCTATGTGCATATCATTAGCTCCCGTGTAATAAGTAACAATGTATAAATATAAAATCAACTAACACGTATAGAGTCCCGTGCCGAGTTGAACAGGCATGAAATCATATTCTTCCAAATCTATAAAAGGCATTCCGGTCTCACTGATATACTCGGCTTCCGCCTATAATTTGCGTAATTAATAAATATAAGCTTCTATTATATATATCAAGTGGAACTTACTTGGGAAGCTGTTCGATAAGCCATGACTACCCTCTCTCCTTGAGCTCTACTGAAAAGAAAGCTCAAGGCTAGCAAGATCGAGCAACTAGAATGTGATGATAGCATCATTTTGGAAATACCGAAATATTTTAATGCGAGCTGACGAAAAGGAATAAGCTTGTAAAGAACAAAGATGACAAGGAAACTGATAGTAAGGCAGGTGATGTTAAAGACGGCAGTAGTAAGAAAGGTGATGGTAAAGAAGGGGATGGATTGAAAACGAAGCAGGCTTTCTTTTTCATAATATATCTCTTTGGAGATTTCTACGTCGACTATAAATAAATAATCGTGCGGTATATGTATTTTGTCTTTTTATTCTTATATCGGAGATCATCCGAGATCTAAAATCGAAATTGTAGTACCCTTAGCTAACTATATTTATAATACTGAAATCTCCTTTCTTATCTTTTAATTGCATGGGTATTGAAAAAGACCAACGTACTGGTACCTCCCCGGCGCCTGAGGGTTAACCAGGGGGTTTAAAATGGAGATTTAGACTTCTAAGCCACCCTCAGGCGGTAATTATTAAGTAAGTAGGGCTGTACTATGATATAAGCACAGATGTACTTGTAATAATAGTCGGAATAGGTCGGAGTGAATCGATCGGGTCCTTGAAAATAATATTGGGACTTGACGTCTCACCTTTTGGAGCCTTCCTTAAGGTAGGCGAAACAATTGTATCCCGTGAAACAATTGTGTCCCGAACCAAAATTTTTTTACGATGTTAAATTGAGAGGCAATTATAAACTTTTACAACGATATATTTTAATCAAATATTTACTCTCGTATCTTAATTAAAGTCGATTATTTTCGTGTTTAGAAATACAATTAATAATATACTATTATAGATGCTATTCGAAGCTTTAAAGCTGAATACATTATTATATCGTTTATGCGAGGTCTTTTTACGATTCGCGCGCAAACATATAAAACTCGCAATATTAAATACGCTTTTCGAAATACTAGTATATAGCCTTTTAATTTCTATTGAATTTAATAAAAGTTAGAGAGTATAAAGAAAGGGTTAAAAAGAGACGGGATAGCATATGCTCCAATTTAAAGAAATATTCAGAAATGAACCCGCTTTTTTGGAGGGGAAATAATATTTTTTTTACGGATTTTTTTAGGGGCTTTGCTTCGATCTTTTCAATTATATTCAGATTGCGTATAATCGTGTGTTACCTTAAATTTAATTCGAAAGAATTGACCGACTTGCTGTAGCAAGTCGGCATGTCAAAAGGTAGCTTTGAAGACAGGCAAAGATAAAATAATAGGAGTGTAGAAGTATGTATTGGTAGTGAACTGATCTTGGGGCTCTCAGGAGCACCCTCGGATCAGTATATATAATTCTACGCTATTACTAAATAAGACTCCTTAAAGTCCTGGATACGATGCGAGATTATGGTACGCATTATCAGAATCTCTGACTTATCGGATCTTTATTTTAACTATAAGTACCTATAGCGAAGGCTTCCCGGTAGTTAAACGGATACTGAGTATCCGAGTAGAGTATTCCTGTCGGGCGTGACATGATAATCCTGTAAGGTATTATTGTCAAGCATGACACGGCACCACCAAGGCGGGATAATAAAATTTGCCCTTTATAATGAATAAAAGATCAACCAACAATTGTATCGTAACTATTTTTGCATAACAAGATGCACCGTACTGAGCTTAATATTAAATAATTAATCAAATTTTAATCATAAGTTGTTATTCCTTTATTGTGTTGGGTTAAAGTAGTAATAATGGTACTTTTAATATATACTTTTCGACCTTACTAATGCTTATATATCAGAATTGCAGTTGCTACGGCTGTCGAAGGCAGTATTGTATTGCTACCTAAGAGTACGCTCAGTATTGAGAAAGAAAGACGAAGAAGAGAAAGAGAACTGGATACAAGAGGTAAGGTCTTATAGGCCATCGTGCCAAGACGGGAGCAGAGGTCACGAGGTAACGTGTAGCTTGTACACCTATGCAAGGCCTCGTGATCTCCTCGTGACCAGAATTTACGTAGTAGCGCCGCTATTACCGAACAGCTGTGTAAATACTAGAATAAGCGAGGAACACGAAACACGGGCTTTTATTTAAACCCATCAAAAGAATACGTGCATCACAACCAACTTATATTTAATAATTTACATCGTTGGTGATACAATAAAATAGAATATTTATTCTTGGTTTATAGAATGTTCTTATAAGTAAGGTTATAGTTCTTAAGATATTCGAAATAAACTAGTAAAATTGAATTATTTGGGACAATTTTTAGCTATGTTTTCACCACAAATCGATGCATCTTTATATTTGTAATTCACGTTTGTAAAGCAAAGTTTTCTATGCACATGAAGATTTTTTTTTTCTTGTTTATATTAGTAGTTATTGTTTAAAAAGTGGCATACCGCTACTGTCCCGCCTTGGTGGTTCGCCAGGTCGGGGTTTTTACAAATTAAATTCAAGGAAATCGACGATTAGCAACTTGACGATGTAAACGATAAAATTAAAGTAATGCCTTCTTTTAGTAAGGTCAAGCGATTCTCGTTTATATTCTATCTGAACGACCAACTTGATTTGAGACCGCGCAAAGCAGCTTATAGCAAAAAAAACACAAGCTGATATTATTATTTTATTTTATTATTGAACCGCAGTTGCAAACAAAGAAGCTGCGTTGAAAAACGTGTAAGAAAAAGAGCTTGCGAAGGTCGCAAATGCCTTATCTTCGATCGACCTTTGGGTGTTTGTAAATTAAAAACGCTTCCGAATTAAATGAAATCTATTGGCTTATGTTGAAATTAACGATAACGACGAAGATTATAAGCGAATTCATATTGTGTTATTATCATCACTTTTAGCAATAATAATGCTTAAAAGGTGAAAAGAGCTTGAATCAAAGATTGAAAAGGACAAGTCGAATTCGCCGCGGCCTTAATTCATAACTTCTTTTGATTTAATTCGAAAGTCACGCGATACAATTAATATTTTAATCAGAACACAGATATTTAAGTTCTTCGTTATTTCATAAGCGACGCGGGACATAATTGGTTCGCCTACTTTAAGAAAGGGCCCCAAAAGTTGAGACGTTAAGTCCCACCATTACCGTATAGTATGGAGAAAACTTGATAAGATGACGCGCGAGGCTGCCAATAACGTCTAATCAGTGAGAATGTGGGACACAAATCTTCGTCTGTACACACAGTCAAAGTCATATTGAAGTTCAAAAATCCATCATATGCCCAGTAGCTATATCTCATGTGTATGCCTACGCCAACGCCGTTTTCTTCCAGATCCTCATTATGATACAGCCTTCACCCATCACCCAGCCTCCATGAGCCTCCATACAAAGAAATACTACATTATCGCTCTAGCACCATGTAAATACTGGGTTCTTGCTTTTCACCATCTCGAGCCTTTCTACAATAACCTTGCGATGGTTTCCTTCCATGCCCTCGGCCGCCGCATACCCCAAATCACCCTCGTGATCGTCACCATCATACAATGTCGAACCTCGTCTGTTCCGATGCGAGAATGAGAACCGCCTTTCTCGAGCAGTCGGAGGCGATCGAGGCGGGCCATCGTAGCTCATCCGACCACGGGGTTGTGTGTTGAGGGTAGGTCGGTCAGAGAACTTGACTTGCCCGTTCTTCCGGCCTTCAATTTGGGTGCCTGAGATGGTTGCAGGAGACGCGGGCTCTTCGGAAACGGAGACCTCTTGACTAGCTGTAGGACTTGCGAGTTCAAACCGATTTGGATTGGGTAATTCTGCTGGCGGGCTCGACAGCCCAAGCAGATCAGGTTGTGGGGCTGCAGAGTTGGCAGCACTGATATCCATCTCGTCAGCTTCGTGAAGATCCTTGTGTAGTCCAAGATCGTGGCGTCTGCGCATTTCTGCTGAGGGTACTCGCATGGGGACTGCAACTGGAACATCGACCAGGTCATCCCAAACACAGACACGAGCTCTCCTGGTCAATTCCAATGGTCCATGATCTGCTAGCTTAAGAGTCTCGACAACATTCCATGCCTGCCCTTTCATGACGGCAATCTGGCGGGCAAACATCGTCTCCTGGAAATCAGCATCTTGGGCGAATACCTTTCTCAGTTCTAATTGAGTCTCGCTCCACCATTGCTTCGATGTAAGCAGTGGTAAAAAATGATCTCTTGTTTTTTGAGAGAACGGTTGGCCGATGAGTGAAACTGGTAAGAAAAGCCATCCAAATGGAAAACTTCGCCATGCATCAGGATGCTTCCAGGGCCAGGACAGACTGTTGTCGATGGCTCCAATCGACATTATCGGGCCTCGTATCCCGGAAAGGGTTGCGGACCTGCTCGTTGCCTCCATAGGCTGTTGAACCCGATATGGATGTGTTTTTAGCGGTATGTTGTCTGTCGCAGGTACCAGTCGTGGGGACCGCTCCTCTTCGCGGGTGTCCATTCGAGGGGGCTCTGAAACAATCGAGACGTCCTCGTTCTCCCAATCCACCTTAATCATCCAATTATCTAATCCTCTGTCCGTATTCCGCATGATGTAATCCAAAATTACCAGCTTCTCGAGCTCTTCCCGGAACGACTGTTGAAGTGTATCTGTCCATACGAAACGTCTAGCTGAGCCTGGTAGTGGAGATGTAGCATTGTTGTCTCCTTCATCGTCGTCGTCCTCTGAGCGAGAGCTGTTTGGTCTGCACGTTTCTCTCCAAGGCTTAGCCTTTTTTTGCCGGGCGTCTGTAGGTCTGTATCCCCCATTCGAATGGTCCGGCCAGGGGTTCTCTCGTAGAAAGATATTCGCATCCTTGAACCCTTTCAAGAATACCTGAAAACTGCCGACCTTTGGTGGAAAAGGCTTTCTTTTCCTGTAAAACGATCTCCTGTCCCAGAAATCATAGTGGAATGATTTCGAGGACAGATGTACAATATCGGTATAGGGAACCAGATTCGTCCGCAAGCGGCAGTCCAGTGTATATGCAGCAGCTTCGGAGACGTAGCTGAGGTTGGGGATAAGGCATGCCCGTCCGAAGAAACAAGGGAACAGGTTGCGGTGTATCCATTTGTTCCATTTTGGGTTGCCTGCCGCGTACGGCTCCTCGTCCTTGGGCTTGAAGACGCCAACGACCTTCCCATCACTATTCCTTGCAAAGTAACTCCCCGAACTGCCTTGTGTGATCATCTTCGGGTGCATTCCCTGCTCGATAGCAACCCTGACGCTCTCAACCACACCGTCGAACTCCAGTTTCGACATTCGCCCATGATCAATGTCCGATGCCAGTGTCTCTGCTGTTGCAGGCCGCACGCCATCTGGAGCCTGGAATACCGAGTGGTGTATCTCTAGCTTCTCTTCTTCTTCTGTTTTGCCCTTGACCTTATTGATCTTGAACTTCGAGGCGATCTCGTCGGCCCATCTCTCCAGCCTTGCGTTGATAGCCTTGATGTCAACCCCCGAGTTACTCCTCACCCGTCTTCGATGTCGCGACCTTCGAGTGTTTGACGGAGACGTCGCGCCATCTGTGTACATGCCACCATGGGTGCGGGGTTGTGTAATGGAGGCAAAGCGTGGAGCTGATGCCGCCTGTAAAGAGGCATAGCTGTTGGCCAGATCGTCGTTGTCTGAGTCTGAATCCTCGGCCTGAGCTATGCGGGCATAGCCCGTTGTATCGAGTCTCGGCATTTTGTTTGTTACCTTGGGGTTGACATGATGTTTGAAAGATTGTGGGTTGAATGGCTGGCTGTGACCTACTAAGGTAGCCCGGCTTTTGGCATTACACGGTTGCAGCATCGCGTCACGAAAGGATGGTGGACCCCTGCCACCCGACAGGTGGAAAGATCCACATATCACGTGTGGCGGATTTCAAGCCGATACGATACAACGTCGCGATAAATGAGCTGGTATCAAAAATGGATATCTAAATGATGTCTAGTTTTTGAACATATAAGTAGTGGCTTCATAATGTGTATTGTGGTGGATGGAATGCGTTTCTCGCTTCAGCCCCTTACAAAGGATCTTCACTCAATGATTGAGTATAACAAACAAGGAATTTCCAACCATATACAATGTCTTCCGCATGTCTTAGCGGGTATAATATCCGACTTCTCCCAATGCCAGTATGAAACTCCCTATGGCCCTATGGCCCTATGGCCCTATCCCCTTATCCCCTTCCTTACCAGCTCCAAAGCAAACATGACTCTTAGGACAAAGTATCGATCAGAACGCAAGACCAACACTGCTCATTCTTGGGGTATGACCTGACACAGCTCCCATCCTCCATCTCTCATCGGCGCCCATCTCTGCCTCGCCAAAAGTCCGAACCCTCGTCATCTCGATACTCTTTTCATTCCTATCAGAATCTACTGAAAGCGTACGAATCGCGACGTTCCGCTGCTTGTAATTCGAACGAGGACTCGAATCCGGACTCCATGTCGTGGGGATGGAGGGCTCGTCGACATCGCTCTCAAGCGTGCTGACCGTAGAATCCGAGTTTCTTCTTGCGTGCATGGTGGGCCCAAGATTGATGCATTGGTAGAAGCCTTCTCGGCTTGTCACCGGTTTCGGGACGTTAGTTATGCTGTCGAGAGAGATGTTACGATTATGGCCATCTGATGCTGGGAATAGCCAGTTGGAGACACGAGAGAAAGATTTTTTCGTTCGAATAGGATACTGAGGTTGCTGGAGGATGAGAGGAAGAGGTGGTGGCAAGGGTTCGTTTGGTCGTGATGTTGGACATGAAGATGGCCGGGGGGCTGGCTGGGAGGTCACTATTAAAGATGGGTAAGGCGTGGTAGATGTAGCGCTGGCTTCGGTGAAGGGAGCAAGGCGCGAAGGAATATGGACGATCTTTGAAGGGACAGTTCTTGGGCGCTGCCCAGGTTGAGAAGAAACAGGCTGAGAAAATAATACAGGCATGGGTGATGGATCGAATGGTTCCAAGAGAGTTGGGGCTGGCATAGGTTCTGCAAAAAAGTAAGTTCAATTCTTTTGGTTTCAAATATATCATACCTTGGAATTCGGAGTAGATGCTCGCAGGTCGGCTCGATGCGCGGCTTGTGGATCGGCTGTTAAAGTATGCGCTCTTCTTATTTTCGATGGTGTCCTCGATATTTTTCAACCGTCGTTCGAGTTCACATCTCTCATGCAGCGCAGACTTAAGGCGTTCATAGACTGGTGGCTCTGTATTTGCTCGCAAACGTGCTGGTGGTGGGGCCTTTGGGAGCTCATTCTCCAAAGCAGCGAGGAGCTCCTCCGCGCTAAGAGAGCCAGGACGGGGTTTGAAATCTACAGTCCAATCCGACGACGTCCCTGACACTGGTTTCCGAGGTATCCGAAAGGACATTGAGCTCTCGCGTCTCGAAAGTGTTACCGCGGCTGGTGGTAAGGGAAGCTCTTTGGAATATCGTGGAGGCATCGACACACCGCTGTTGTTGCCAAAGAGCGGCAAAATCGGCGAGAGCTGGTTTTCTGGCATATATATACTCCTACACGATGGAGAAGTTAGACATAAAAAAATGTTTCGAAAAGAGCACGGGGCATGTCATCAGACATCCTCGGACAGCCACAACAGGAGAGAAGAGCTCGCCCAATACTTACAATTCCAGTGGTCGATATCTCTCGTCTCCAGGGGCTCTTCTCGTCGTGGGGTTCTCAAGAAGACGAAAGTCCGAAGGGTGGCTAATAATCGGTGGACCATGTTGGGACGGTCCATTGAAAGCACGAGGCTTCCTCTTCATAGAAAAGTTCGTTCTGGCAGCCCATTCCCTCCCTCTCGTTGAAGGTCCTTCCTGAGGCTCTGGGATGGGAAGGGAAATCAGACGAGGTTGGTGGTAGACGGGGTCTGTTGAGCCAGAACCAGACACGGATTTCTCCCTCCGCGGCATACAACACGCAAAAATCATATAGGCGTCGTCAGACTGCATATTCCAGATATGCATACCTGCGAGCGTTAAAGAAAGGGAATGGGGAGTGAAAAATCCCCAGAAACAACCTTCATGGAAGAAACCAAAGAACAAAGCTGGGGAGCAGCTGGAGACAACTAAATGGACACTCATTATCATTCGTCACTTGAGAAGATAGGCGCCTAGGCCAGCTGCAATAATTGGGTGTGCCAATCGGCCGTTCGGTATGAGGTTCATGTATTTTGACGCCTTGTCCATTAGACCCCTCGGGAGGGCATCAATGCATGTTGATTGGCGATGAGCTCGCCAGAGGGCGCTTAGCTGTGGTTGCAGCAAGCAGCACTAATTACCAGAAACCGCCAATGGCATTCCGTGTTATTGAATTTGAGCAGTAGCTTGGAAGCTTCGCCTAGCTATGGGGATATTTGGCGTTGATTGCTGCTGGAGATGTGGTTCATGAGCGTCGTCGGCTCAGTTCAACCCTGGAGGTGAGAAACGTGATGAATTTTCCTTCTCACGAGCTCCTCGGTGAGAAAAATCGGGGTCTGGACATTCCGTTGAAGAGATAATAAGCTGGAGCTTCGAAGGAAGGATGTCCTATCAAGATAGGTAGACGTCGTTACTTACCTAGGTCAGAAAATGCGATGCTCGATCAGGTGATGAACGACAGATCAAGCTAGCTCGCCGAGAATAATATTATTCCAACTTATCTTCCCTCCGTGTACTCGTGCGGCCACGAAGTCTGTATGTCACATAGGCGTAATTGAGATTCTAATTAGAGGAGGATTTCCGACTTTCCGGCAGTACGATTATCTCGATGTCAGCCTATAATATGCGCCATGCTCGCAAAAGCTCGTCTCTGTGAAATCTCGGTATTTCGTCTTGAATTTTAATAGGTAGTCGTTTAGCAGACGTCAAACCGAAGAAGGTTTGGGGGCACAGGGGCATTGCGCAAAGCCGTCGAGCGCAATCAGCTCTCCATGGTCACAAAAAGTACAAATCTGCATTTCGTGTTTGAGATAGTGAGAACTCCAATTGCGAATTCGGGCCAAAACATTCCAGTAGCTTCTCCCCAGCCAAAAACTTGCCCAAAAATCCAAAAGTTCTACCTTTTGGGGCGCCGTTGAATGCAGGAACAGAGCCCTCTCTCAAACTGACCACAGGAAATTATTGACATGTTCATAACGCAGAGTAACACGCGGTCATGCACCCAGTGGCGCAATGAGTTCTTATGGCTCACTTGTCAGGACAATCTGGTTGGGGGATCAACAACCTGTAACGATTAGGGGCCGAGTGGTTTAGACTCACCAAACCACACACGATATTGATTGACGGCGGAATTCGACACGACAAGGACGTAGGACACTTCACAAGTATCTGAACCTTTTTGGTGTTCTGATTCATTCTAATTTTGGAATCTGAGCTTACGCGCGCGGGGGGGTAGGGGGGAGGGGGGTTGTTTATTTTTTCGACGTACGGAAAGCTAAGCGAGGTTATATCACAGCTCAAAAGGTCAGAAGGCGATGACTTCAACCGCATTAGCATGGAAATATAAGCTCCCGTTTAATTTGAACATCCGATGAGAAATCCCGCTAATCTGATTAAAGGCTGCACCTCGCGATTTGGACTGGAATTTAGATTCGATAGAGCATCATCACTATTGCGTGCAGCTTGTTTCATTTCAGGCGCTCATTCCTTACCGGGCTATCAGCGCCAAACTTGTTGGATTTCTTCTCTAGGATATATTGCACAGAAATTTGGGTGGCATTGTGGAAGGTAAACAAGAGTAATCAGACCTAACGACGTCTGAGACTGACTCTGCCGCTGAGATGTATATTCGTGACTTTTCGACTTTTTGGCTGATTATAGCTAGCAAATGTCCAAGGTACCAGCGCACCAGCAGGACAGACTACTACAGAGATTGTTCACCCAGAGAAAGCAAAACCTCAGAGCCCCACACCACAAAAATTATCTGCCCTGTAGAAATTCATGGAGTCATCTCCTGAATTTCATGCTAGCCTGGCATGACTTTTAACATTTCTCGTTACAAACGATCACATTTCAGCCACTCGTACTGATTTGCTGGCCTCCGGTAACCCAACTACAGATGTGAGCTTAGTCCGTTTCTTCTCACAGGGTACCATAAGAACCCCCAAAAAGGTAGCTCGATAGCCGGAGGAGTCCTACGTACTGTTTCTTGCCGGCATTGAATTCATTGCATTGGTTCTTAAGATCATCTGCGAAATTTGCAATCACCCGAAAATCTCTATTAATGGGACACTGTACAATACTCAGGCTGAGAGTGTCTGGAATGGATACAAAATATCGTTGAAGCTTACACTGACGTTGTCGTTGCACAAGTGGATAGCGCTGTCGTAAGAGCACTAGATGATTTGGCGGTTAGCAACCATTCATTTTAAGTTTTTTTGCGCAAGCTTCAGAATTAGGACACTCACGATATACTAGAAGGAGGGAATAGGGCTGCTGCCCGATTGTCCTTACGCTGACCCGAGCACAAGTAAGCGCGTTAACGCGGCAGCCTGCAGCGTCAATATTGTTCAGGCTGTTGACGCCGTCTTTAATTGCGGTGGCAACGGCCTTCTTCCAGTCCCAATTAGCAATAGGAATGCACGTAAGTCCAAACTGCCCTCACGTAAGCTTAACGGACAGGCAGGAATTCGAGTTAATGGCTGACTTTGTTGTCTACCGAGGGTGACAACTGTTTAGTAAGAACCGCCGTCGGGGGTCCATGAGCCCGAGCATTATGGTATTGAGGGTATTGAGAAGCCAGTTTGGAAGATCATGAAGTCAGTAAATTTTTCTTCTGGGTATCTCGGGAACAAAATGCTCACGAGACATTCAGAAAAGCAGGGAATGGCAATGGCCGGCTTAACGTACTGGACCTCGACCTGTTGGATTGTGCCTGTGAGATCGAATGGAATTTCATCAATGGTACCAGTGATGAGAAGCTCGGAGACAAGGTAAGGGAGGGAGTCCGGAGACGCGATGGCGGTAGCAGTAGCAGTTGCAACGACGAGGAGGAGAGCGACTGCGAAGCAGGTGATGAAGTTGGGGAAAGACATGTTGACTCTGCGTAAAATAAGAGGAAGATGACAAGGTTTCGAGTGCTTTGGTGCAGTGTTTCGTGGCATGGAGGGCCGAGAGATCGTTGAGTAGACTGTCCCCGAGGGGAGTCCTTATATGAGGACCACAAGCTGTCATTGTGCAAGGTTGAGCTTGTGAATTTGCTAGCTTGACTGATGCCATTCATCCAAAACTTCGTTCCTTTCAGCTCTAAAATACACCTCGCATTCACCTATATTGAAACAGAGGAAAACGATAGATTAGGGTTCTGGGAGTGAATAGCGATGGTGAAAAGAGCCAAGATTAAGACCTCCGTGGCTTTTTCAAAGCTCAAGCTCATAAGACTGATACCAAGTATCTTCTACATCTATTCAAATGACTATAGTGGCGTGAAGTATCATATATGGAGGTCCTATGTAGTGTTTTTTATATCATTATGAATATTTACTCATTTGTTTACTATTCAACCCCTGTCGCTAGCGCGCTGTTGTCAAGCGATTACTTATTGGAGACAGCTTAAGCGCACGGGCCTAATCTATCAAACCCGCAGCCGCAACAGAAAAACGTACTACAGGAATAGCGACAAGACATCAGTCTGCGACGACACGATCAATATGCTGTTCCCAGAAGAAGATGCCGGGCACCTGAAGACATTTATTGTTAAGCGCCTGGAAAATACCTCTGACGCGGATGCAGATGTTCTGGCAGATTATGTGCTTGCGCTTCTGCGACACGATGGCGACACGGAAACAGTCAGAACGCTCTGTGAGGCTGAGATTCCAGATTTCCTGAAAGAAGACTCTGCCATATTTGTCAGGGATATCTTTGAAGCGATTCAATACAAATTATATCTCCCGGGCGCTCCTCCTCTCCGCAGATCATCCATACCTTTTGCGCCTCCAAACGGACCCTCTGCCCCCTCCGCGCATGGATATGGAAACTTGGGTATGGTTGCTTCGTTTGGACCTCAGAATGGCTCGCGGAAACGCCCCCACAACGACCGAGGGGACGGAGGGGACGCGCAGGATCGAGGATTTATCATGGGTGATCCGAACGGCAGGACTTTCAAGCAACCAAGACGCGGAGGACCTGCCATGGGCAGAGGCGGCTTCGATGGTGGATTCAACCAAAATGGTGGCAGAGGAGGTTACGCTGGAGGACGACCACCACCGATGAACTTACAAGGCATGCCACCGCAAGGATTTCCTGCTATGCCCAGTCCTCCGTTAGGAATGCCGCCCCTGGACCCAAACAACCCCATGGCAGCTATTTTGGCTATGCAGGCAATGGGGTTCCCTATACCCGGCATGCCATCCTTTCCGCAACCTACCTCCCCTGGATCATCACGGCAAAACAATCAGCGATGTAGGGACTTCGATCTCAAGGGGTTCTGCGCCAGGGGCAATCAATGTCACTTCGACCATGGCGAGCATAAAATATGGGTTCCACCGGCGAGCGGAGTGGACGAATACGATCCTACAAATTCTGGTCTCATGACAGGTGTAGAGAGTGCGAGTCCTGGCCTTGGTCCTATGAACTCTTTCAACCAATTCCGCGGTGGCGACAGAGGACGGGGCCGCGGTGGCTTCGTGAGGGGTGATAGGACACAGCTCGGCGCTCCAGGCAGAAAGAATGGTAGATCGGAACTATCATCTGATCGACCGAACTACGACAAGAGTAATACTACGATTGTGGTGGAGAACATCCCCGAGGAAAGGTTTTCTGAAGACGAGGTCCGCGGATTCTTCTCTACGTTTGGCAACATCGAGGAGGTTTCAATGCGTCCATACAAGCGCTTGGCAATTGTCAAATATGACGATTGGAACGCTGCCAATAATGCATACACATCTCCCGCAGTTATCTTTGACAACAGATTTGTCAAAGTCTACTGGTATAACGGCGACGATTCGTTACCCAAGCCCCATTCCGTCAAAACTGGCACTGGTGGTTTCAAGAAGGAAGGCTCACATCCAAATGCTCCAGTACCTAACAGAGCAACATCGGAGCCTCAAATAGACATCGAAGAGTTTGCTCGCAAGCAACAAGAGGTCCAGAAGGCGCACGAGGAGAAGAAGAAAAAGAAGCAAGAAATGGAGGTGGCCAAGAAGGAGCTTGAAAGGCGACAAGAGGAGCTGATGAAGAACCAAGCTGAGGAGAAGAGAAAGCTCATGGAGCGGTTAGCTGCCAAGAGCGTAAAATCTGGCTCTCCAGCCAATGGTTCTGCTAATGGTACCCCTGCGCCCGAGGCCAAAACCAAATCCGAGACAGAGGTCTTGAAGGCACAATTAGCTGCATTGGAGGCCGAAGCCAAATCCCTTGGTCTCGATACGTCGCTTACTGATACCTGGGGCGGTCGTGGGCGTGGACGAGGCCGAGGTCGCGGAGGATATAGAGGACGAGGCGATTTCGTACCGCGCGGCCGCGGGGGATACAGAGGTCGTGGAGGCGCTCCATTTTCCGCAGATGGCCGTTCCTTCAACCTTGACAATCGGCCCAAGACCGTCAGCGTGACTGGAGTCGATTTCTCAGACAGTGCCAAGGATGGAATTTTGAGAGAGTATTTATTCGTAAGCTCCCCTTACTATCCCATATAACACACAAACCGATCTTCTAACACGGTTCAGACTATTGGCGAATTCACCAATATTGATAGCACATCCACCCGTGCCCAGATAACCTTCAAGGACCGCAAGACCGCCGAGAAGTTCATCGCCAGCATTTCCCGCGACGGCGGCGAGCTCCCTTCAGCCGGCAAAGTCGAGTTGGCGTGGGTCAAGACCCCGCTTCCACCGATCGTTCGCGAGGCCCCAAAGCCATTCGTCATTAAGGCCGAAGAGGATACGCAGATGGAGGACGGTGACGCGATGGCTGCAAGTAGCCCGGTGGTTGGCCACGGACGGGGAAATGCGGAGGGCAATCACGATCAGCAGGAGAATCTGGATTATGATGTTGCTGATGACAATGACTGGGGAGTCCAGTGAGCGGGAGATGTCTGCACGGGGCTTGGTTTTGGGGGGGGGGGGTCATGGCGTGGGAAACATACAAAACGAACGAGATTCGTACATAATTTTTGTATTTGTAAGTAAACAGGGTCACGAAGAACGGAGTGAAATTGAAATTCAGACTATTTCCTTCTACTACGCACAGAGAAAGTAGCGCCTCTATCAGTTTTCCATGATACACTCACCCACTCACTGCGAGCGAGATGGTGAACACCCTTCCTGCATTCCCACCCCCTTTCAATCAATCTTCAAGCCTCGGAATCGGCCCCTTCTCTCTCTCTCTCTCTCTCTCTCTCTTATCTGTATATGGGTATTTTTCTGAGGCCTCTTGATTCATCGCTTCGCAGACTTTTCGAGTGAGTGTGAAGGTAGGTAAGTAGGTAGGGAGTTGGCAAGGAAGGTAGGAAAGAGTATCCTGATCCTGATGACATGTCTTTACTCTCCCTTTTTCCTTTTTTCCCCCTTTTTTTTTCTTCATCTTCTCTCCTTTCAAAAGTACAGCGAGCGTCCAGCGCTCTGCTGCGCTAACCCTCCCCCTCCCCCTCCTCTCTCCTTCAACCGCGCTTTAATCACGGCCTGCGTGCCCGTACTACAGTACCAGATCTTCACGAGATGCAGGCCCGCGCCGGCGAGCAGGGCGGCAAATTCCCTCTCGCTGCGCGCTCTTTGCCGCCGATGGAGATCATGAGCATGTCCATGCAGTAAGGGGCCAGGTCTTCGCCGGGGGTGGCGCGGGCGGGGATTGCGGCTTCGGTGATGAGGAGGCGGGACTTTGGGGAGGGAGGGGGTCTTGTTGTTAGTGGTGGTGGTGGTGTATGGAGGAAGGGGTTGGAGGTAGGCGATGAAGGAAGAGAAGGGGAACGAGGGAATAGGGGAGTGGGAGGAGAGAAGGGGACGAACGGTGGGACCCATGGCTGCGGCGATGTTCGTGAGGATGGTGGTGCAGCCGCCGTTCTGGTAATTGTGGGTTATGCGGCGGAGGAAGAAGATGTTATATTCTCATTTTTATTTTCTTCTCAAATCTCATCCGTCGCGGTTGATAGGCGTTGAAACAAACGTTGATGTTGGCGAGAACGGACGGGCGACGCACACCTACTCTTCACAGGCTGCTCCGTACAGAAATCATACGGGCACTTCTCGATCCCCTTCAGCAGCTCCTGGGGTACCGAGTCCAACGCGAACGACCGATCCTGGAGCACCAGCCTGCTCCCCGTGCCAAAGCTGTCCCCGGTCTCTCTTCGGTCCGCGCCCGCCGCCAAGCGGTCGGGCTCGGCGTCGACGGCGGGCTGGAGCGAGGAGAAGGGGAACATGCCGAGCGTGGGTAGAGAAGCTTCTTGCTGCATCATGGCCTTGTTGAACACGGTGAAGCGGGCGGCGTCGGCATGCAGGATTTCGTAGAAGGTCTGGCCTTCTTGGCCGTAAGCGTAAGTGTAGGCGGTTTTGCGGAGGTCGATCAGCTCTTCTGGGGTGTGGGTTTTCAAGTACTCAAGCCAGGTGAGATCTTGTGAAGGTGTTCTGTTAGTTTATTAGTTATGTGTTTTCTGTCGAGAAAAGAGGAGCTGTTTTTCAGGCTCAAGAACATCCACGTAGGCCATGTCCCTGTTGTCCGAAACGGGATCTGGGCCTCTCAAGCTGAGCCGTGAGGAGAATGAGATACTTACAGCATCAAAAAATGTTAATACTACATCTTTATTAGCAAGCCCCTTGACTCGCATTCGCAGAAGAACTGACCACATATTGAAGAAATCCATCGCCGCACCATCAAGTTACGCTTTCGATTTGGGCGTATGTGCATAAGTATCTTCTCCTGTTATGACTATGATGCCGGTGCTTGTGAGCATTCTCATGAGGCGTACTTTTCAAGACATCAGTCGAGATCCCGACACGAGGGGGGAGAGGGTTGATGCTAGCCTATCACTCCAGGCTCCAAGTTGATCATAGCACCGAGCTCAGTTACTGAAATACTTCCTTCCTCGGGCATCTCTTCAAAGGCGCCTAGTCTGACCATCGTATTGAGGGAGGTAGCCATGTTCATCTGTATCATGCTCGCATGAGCTTTGAACTGCACGACATGCAAACCATACACCTATCAACAACATGAAAGTACCTCGGGAAATCATTAGCCATACAACTGAGCACTGTCTAAGCACTCATAGCTGTTAGCAAGGTAGGTGAGTAAGGAGGTGGAGGAGAAGAGGAGTCTTACTAGCATCCATCGAATCTTCCAAGTCCATATAGAGGAGGTCGACCTGCTTCATCAACTCATATCTTTCGGACCGGTCGCCTTTTTATTTCTTCGCGCTCGCGAGGATGGACTTGGCTTGGGCTATGATAGCGTCGGCGGACACCATGACTCGGAGCTGTATTTGTTTGTTTGCGGAATATGAGTTGAATTCGGTGCTTGATATGTGATGATTGGGGTCAGATTCGCGTTGAAGATTGAAAATTATATTCGCTAAGTAAACAACACAATTCGCTTGGCTGTAGTCATGGATGTGGGGATCCAAAGGTTTGGATCTGTGTTTGGATAGATTCATTCTCAAGGGGGTCTGTTTCGCCCCCCCCCCCCCCCGATGATTACTAGCGAGCTTTCGGAACGACTTGCCTGAAGGGCGCTGGCTTCGTCTTGCTAGGCCTGAGCCGCCGAAGAAGATAAACTATCATATTCCAAGTCATGTTCCTGACAAATCACAGCGCGATTGGCGCATGTTGCTGTAGATCATAAAGAGTGAGGTCTGATCAATCGTCGGTTATCTGGTGTTCACATGTCCATTGTTTACCTGGTCCTTGCAACTGATCATCTCGCTCGCTAATCCGGATCTCACTTCGACCTCGACCTCAACCTCGACTTCTTTTGAATGAATCGCAGCAACGTACTGACTCTCTGACTCTCTGACTCTCGCCCGCTCCCAGACTGCAGACTGGTAAATACCATCTCCGTTTAAGCTCCACACCGCATCGTGGACCGGGATTATATATATTCCCAGAAATGTGTATATATTCCCAGAAGCTGCAGTTATCCCTTTCCTTCGCACGCAGCACGGCACGGCTCGGGCGTCACATCGCAGCTTCGTGTCAGTCCAATCCGGTCTCTATCAGCGGGTGACATGCATCGCAGCTCGATCGAATTGGATTTTTTGTGCAGCCGCAGCGTTATATATTATTCACCGAGATCTACAGCCGCGAATGTCACTGGTGCCGTCCGCCGTCCAGCACGTCTTGCCAGCAACGGCTAAGCGCTGCGGAGGAGACTCTGCTAAGTACCCGGATCTTAATTAGGTCGGTGATCCGGGCACGCTTTGAGTATCAACATTTGCTCGGGGATAAGGGGCAGGCCGGACAGGTCGTGGCCACGAGGTTTAAGCTGTTATGAAGCTCCGACCGATTCTCCCCTACTCGATCTCTTCTTCTGTTCTTTTCTATTCTTAATTTTCCCGTCTCGTACAAGTACCGTTTGTCTGGTTCGGAATCTCTATGGTCATCCAAGTGCCGCTTCTCTTTGTTGCTTTTGATTGCTTTCAACCGTTCACCTCGGACGACCCCACTGCTGGGTCAGTCTCCGGTCCTGAGTCCCTACAAATGCGGCCAGGCCCAACAATCTGCGACACATCGCAGCATAGCATAGGATACACGAGTGTGATAATTTAATAGTGCCTGGACGATGAATAACGAGGAGGCGATTGAGGCTGAGAATAATGTGCGTTCCTTGATATTTTGAAATTTCGGCACATTGTATCTAATGCGCGATGCGATGTTGACTCTCTGACTTGAGTCCAGGGCTTCGATGAAGACTCGGCCTACGCAGGCTCCTCGTATGATATTCGACCCATGTTCCTGAGTGTATCTATGCTGATCGATGGACAAGCAGAGTTGGGAGTCTGACGGAGACGCTGTCGTCGGAGATTTCGAGGGGGGTGAAGGAGTACGGGAGGACTTGTGAGTTGCAAGTGCACACTACGCGCCTGTTTCAAAGTGGAATGTGAGGTTGATCTTTTGTGTCTCTAGATGCCTCTTATGGGAACGAAGGTCTGTCGAATAAATTCGGATTAGGAGTGAGATTCAGGGCCCTGATGCTGATGCTGATGGTGGGTTAGAGTATGGCCTTCCTATCGACGAGGATGAGCTGGATAGAATCGATATGTCCCATGCGAAGTACACGATTCTGCTAGAGAAGAGTCTTTTTATTGCGCCAATAACTGCATCGCCGCAGAAAATACTAGATTTAGGAACAGGTGTGGTAGTTTTGAGACTCCTCCTTTCCTGCGAAACCTGAAGTTTTGACTGACTCTGAGACCACCAGGAACGGGTATATGGGCTATAGATGTACGACCACCTGAATGTATGCTGGCAGATTAGATGGTACTAACCAAAGCCTCAGATGGCAGAGGCATATCCGTCCGCAGAGGTAACTGGATGCAAAGACTAATCAAGCATCATGATTAAACGTACTGCAGGTACTAGGACTTGATATTGCTCCCACCCAGCCGCAATGGCAAGTGTAGCCCGCTCCACGCACAATAGGCAACTAATCTCATACCCAGGGTTCCGCCCAACTGCATCTTCGAAATTGATGATATTGAAATGCCCTGGACTCTCGAAAAGAACAGCTACGATTTCATTCACGCTCGCGATCTCCTGCTATCCATCCGCGACTGGCCAAAACTCGTCACCCAATGTTTCGAGTAAGCCCCTTTCCTTTCCCTTCCTCATATGACTAAACAAAGAAAGTACTCACCGATTCCAGCCACATCAAACCCAGCGGCTATCTTGAACTCCAAAGTATCTATCCGCGCCTGAAATGCGACGACGGCTCCACGCCCGCGGACTCAGGGCTTTGGCAGTTCTCAGACCACGCCCTCGAAGCTTCAACCCGAATAGGCGCCCCGCTAGACGCTTGCACGCGCTACGCTGAATATATGGCCGCGGCAGGCTTCACGGAAGTCATCGAGCGGCACTACAAGGTGCCCGCGAGCCCCTGGGCGAAGGACAAGCGCATGAAGCTCATCGGGGCCTTTGAGCTGCACAACCTGCTGCGGGGCATCAGCGCGATGAGTCTGCGGATGTTCAGCAAGGCGTACGGGTGGAGTGAGAGCGAGATTGAGATGTTCCTAGCGAAGGCGCGGGCGGATATGCAGAATACGCGGTTTCATGCCTACTACGAGTTGTGAGTCGGTTCTCGGATGGAGTGTAGGATCATGGGCAGTGGCCAACCATGGGGCTTTGGATTGGCTGACTTTTGCTTATATTATAATAGTATGGTGATCTATGGGAGGAAACCAGGAGGTGCGACGACTAGCTGCGAGCAGGATTTATCTTGAGAAAGTGTCTAGGTAACTAGCTGGCATTGGATGGAAGGCGTTCGGTTAGGTGTCGGGAGGGGAGTGTTGTTTTGGCTGGAGGCTTGGTTCTTTAGGGGGAGGATTCAGCAAATATATTTGTCTTCTATTATTACCGGCAAGCCAAGGCCCAATACTGATAAATGATTAACTTCATCGTTAATCACAGATAAGCTTAGTTCCTACCGAAAAGCATATACTACGTATAGTAGCAACCGCGTTACACCTTATTTAATGTAATGAGTATGAGCAACTTTTATAGCAATTAAGAAGTGACTGCGCTATAACTTTATTTTAAGTACAGGTGTAAACGAATCCCGAATTACTGTGTACAGCTATAGATTTCTCGTATTTGTTTCTTGGGATGATTAAAAGGCAGGATGATCTGCCATTCTGATTTCAATATGTACTTATTTGTGACGAGTCTGTTACTAATTATGATGTGGAAATAAAAGCTTGAAGGCCAAAGTGAGATGGATACCGACGATCATCTAGCCGCGTAGGAAAATTGCAATACTATAAATAAGTAGCTAGGCGGAAGTTCGACTTGTCAATAATTACTGCGCTGCTTATTATTAGCCGCACGATTATTTATAGCCGACGTAAGAATTCGAATACGGGTTTGAGAAAGAGATATATATTTCTTCGTGCACCTGCTCCAGTGTCGAATCATCATCCTCTTCCTTTATAAGCTTAATTCTTTTTCGTCAACTCGTATCACATACAAATACGATGCTACGATCGAAGTCTACCCTCGCGATCTTGCTAGCCTTGAGCTTTCTCTTTAATGGAGCTCAAGCATGGTTTACTAGAGAAGTCATCGGCTATGCAATGATTCCCCGTGTAAGTTTCACTTGATTCATATAGCATAAGCTTATATTAACTACGCGAATTATAGTCCGAAGCTGATGAAATCAATGAGTTGAACGAGCTACACTCCATAGGGGGAATCTTAGGAAGTGAAAATTCTCAATTAGGAAATGGCTTGATATTGCGTGAGCTAATCCATTTAGATCGTTATCTATCACGCGGGGCTAATAATCTAAATAGTCAACGATCCTAGAGTCTTCCGGGATGTAGAAGGATATTCGTATTGTGTTATCAAAGCGAAAAAGGATAAGATGAAAAGAATCGGCAAAGTCTATGTCCCGTATTCTGATGGTCAAACGGAGTTATGGAACAGCAATGAAATGACCATCAGATCTCACATCTACGGAGAGGATTTGGTGGAATTTCCCAACACAGCGCTGCGCTTCGCCTGGCTTAGGGGTCGCAGCCGGCAGCCGATAGTGCTTATCCCATCGACGGTGATACAACTCAATTATTTGAAGTTATGGGGCAAATGCTATAGCACACCAGATAAGCTGCTGGAATCTTGGACAGAGGTCGTTAAATGGAGCCAGAAATCAAGTTGGACTATTAAAGGAGATCCTGGAGAACCGCACGAATGATTTTTAAGTAGTGGTAGCACTTTCGTTCTGTATACAGCGCAATCACAGATTCTTCCTCTCCCGAATGCCTTTAATATTATCTTAAAGGCAGGTAGGAGGTCATTCAAACGGTCAGCTAATTATCCAATGACCATCTTTCTTAAGGACGGTCTCAAAAGGTTGGCATGGCTGGTAGATCACTCTAGGTTCATAGCTGAATGGGAATCAAACTTGTAATTAGGTCGTTAAAGAAATTGTAAACTATTGCTAAAATGGAACCGATTTAATCGTTTGAATCGTCGTATAAAAAAGTCGGTCTTTTTACGAAAAGACCATCTTCGGACCGTCTCCGAGCATTTTGGGACCGTCTCATGGCCGTCCCCGAACTGAAAACTGTCCCCGACAACTAACATGAATCTACGACCCAACCCCCCGCCCCCCGCCTCCCGCCCCTCACTCCCGTGCGTGTGAACAAGCAGCATGAAGCAGGTGAACTTTTGCTGAATCGATCGATTCCGATTTTAAATTTATTAAAGCGTTGATATATAAGCCGTGGCAGCGAGACTGAGGAAATATCTTGGCATATATCTCGGCTTAATAAGCAATAGTTTCAAATGCATTCCTATTTGAATTGATCGAGAAATATGAACGGTCATTACATCGTTTTACATACTAAACCGTTTTGAAATCGGGACGGGGACGGCCATGGGACGGCCAGGAAACGGTCTCTTTCAATAGATCCGGGACGGTCTATTTGGTAAATTACTCCTGAAGAGGGTCTAGTATTGACTTTAGAGGGTCCAATAACTATCTCTTATAGAAGAGGGTCAGAGGGCCATTGAAAACACCCCCTACGTCCCTTTATTAATGTAATATACTGTACGAGGTGCCCCCTACGAACCTTCAGCTCTTTTTCTTTCTTTCTCTTGCGGTAGAAAGAGAGATAAAGAGTCTAGAGAGCCGAAATTGAATCATCGACATGCGACGTCTCTTCGAAGAGATTTTCCTTTACCGGCGATTCCGAACCTCCTTCCTCTTTCTTCTCGAATACTACGCCGACTACGATCTATACTTGACGGGCATACCGACTAAAAAGACTAAGAGGATTTGCGATAAAGGGGGAACGTGTATAAGAGATAGGATAAGAAAGGCTTAGTTCGATTGATCGAAAACACGGTACTGCGCTTTCGAAAGAGCGTTCTACAAACACACCGGCTTTATTTAAAGGCTACGAACGCGAGCCTTTTTAGCTCTACGACGAAAGAGAACGATGTTTGTACTATACGGATCGAGGCCGCTCGTAAGGCCATACGTATTCGACAGTTGTCGAGAGAAAACTCGACGCATAGCACTATGAATTGCTTTTAGGGGGTTTACAGGTGTACTTTGTATATAATTCCTCTACTTAGCACGTCGCCGTACCCCATGGGAGGTCCCCAGGGTCCAAGCATTGCGTTTTGGATACCCGCCCGACGTTAATAAATACAACAACAACAACAACAACAACAAAAATTAATGTAATATCTAATATCTGATATCTAATATCTAATATAGAACTATGTTTAGCTAAATGTGGATCCGTGGCTAAGACCGTAAACCCAAAAACGTTAGAAATACTGTCACCTGACCTAAGAGGAAAACGTTGATTGGGTGCATGTATTTGAGCTTGGGCTCTCGAGGAACACTAAAAACTTAATTAAGCGCTTAGTAATAGGATAAGGTAACTTGTAAGCCAGATTTGCAAGCTAGATTTGCGTAAGACTACGTTTTGCAGCCACCTTTTTCAATTGAAAACTACGATTATAAATTCTTCTCTTTCCGAATTCTGTACGTTCCCTTCTCGAATACTTGAGTATTAGCTAGTTAATAGTAAGAATGCTCGAGGGACAGCTGGCTGCATCGGGCTGAGAGGAGCTATAGCTATTAATTGAATGCTCGAAATATAGCCAGCTGCACCGGGCTGAAGGAGGCTGAGGTGGGTTATTACGATGGATTGAATGCTCGAAAAACAACTAGCTGCATCGCGCTTAAGGAGGCTGAGGTAGGTTACTGCTATAAATTAAATGCTCGAGGAACAGATAACTGCATCGCACATTAGCATGCTGCTACGATGAATCAAATGCTAAAGGACAGCTGGCTGCATTGTACTTTAAAAGGCTATTGCTACAGATTGAATGCTCGAAGGATAACTTGCTACAACGCGCGTAAGAGGGCTATTGCTACACATTGAATAATACTGCAGGTAGTGTCGTGCGGTAAATAAGGTTATAATACTGGAAACTGCAATATGCATTGCAGGTCTGCTTTTGCACAATAGGTAGCTAACAAAAAGCTATGCGATAATCGAATCGTAGATAAGAATTTATCAGTATAGTGAAATGTATTATAAGTAAATCTAAAAGCTTCTCCCCACCACTCCCTTCCTTGATCACTCAACTCCACGACCGACCGAAAGCCTGCTCTGCTGTTGTTGCTTCTCTGTTCCTCTGCGTCTCTCCCGAATCCGAACCCCGAACCCGAATCCGAACTATAAATCTTCCTCACCACATCCCACCGCCACCAACCTTCCAATCCACCAATTCACCAATCCACCACACCAGACACTTCCCTCTCCTCCTCCTCTCTTCCTCGTCGTACATGCAGCGACAAGCAGCAGATCGTTGGGCTCGCAAACGCTACTTCGGCTAAGCCCATGCTGCCGTAGAAAGATACAGAGAAAGAAAAAAGATACCCCGCTGCATACATCTTCCAGATTTCACTTTGTGCGAAGCAAACAAACAAGGTGTGTCCTGTGTGCTACCAATCTTCCGCTCAAGAACAAATAAATCCTTTGTGCCATTATCGAAATCTCGGCCTACATATACACCAACCCCAATGCCCCCACAGATACCTTCCTCTTCCTCTACTCTTCAAATTGCTAACGAAGCTCCCTACCAGATCAAATTCCTGTCTCCCAAGCTGCCAAAGAGCCCCTAATCTGTCACAATGCATATCAAAGACATGCTATCTGAGGCCGAGCGGTCAGGCCAAACTACCTTCTCCTTCGAATTTTTCCCGCCCAAGACCGCCCAAGGAGTCCAAAACCTTTACGACCGAATGGATCGCATGCATGGCCTCGGGCCCTCCTTCATCGACATTACCTGGGGCGCTGGTGGCCGCCTCGCCCAGCTAACCTGCGAGATGGTCAGCGTAGCTCAATCGCAGTACGGGCTCGAGACCTGCATGCACTTGACGTGCACCGACATGGGGCAGGAGATGGTTGACGCGGCGCTCAGAGACGCGTATAAAGCCGGCTGCACGAATATACTGGCGTTGCGAGGCGATCCGCCGAGAGAGAAGGAGAAGTGGGTTGCCACGGAGGGGGGTTTCCAGTATGCAAAGGATCTGGTAAAGCATATTCGCGACACGTACGGCAATCACTTTGATATTGGGGTGGCGGGGTACCCTGAGGGCTGTGATGACCAGGACGATCCCGAGCTCTTGCTGGAGCATCTGAAGCAGAAGGTTGATGCGGGGGCAACGTTCATTGTGACGCAGATGTTTTACGATGCGGAGAATTTCATCGAGTGGCTGGGTAAGGTGCGGGCGAAGGGCATTACGGTTCCAATCGTGCCAGGTATCATGCCGATCAACACGTACGCCAGCTTTCTGAGGCGATGCAGTCATATGGGGTGTAGGATCCCTCCCGAGTGGAGCGCGGCGTTGGAGGTGGTCAAGAATGATGATTCCGCTGTACGAAATATCGGTACCGGGTTGGTAGCTGAGATGTGCCGCAAGCTTCTTGCAGCGGGAATCCATCACCTGCATTTCTACACTATGAACTTGGCCCAGGCTACTCGCATGCTGTTAGATGAGCTGAAACTCACGCCATCCGAGCAACGCCCATTCAAGCACGCCTTGCCATGGAGACAATCCCTCAGTCTGGGACGTCGCGATGAAGACGTTCGTCCCATTTTCTGGAAGAACCGCAACAAATCCTATGTTACCCGAACTCAGGACTGGGACGAGTTCCCCAACGGCCGATGGGGTGACTCTCGCTCCCCTGCTTTCGGAGAACTGGACGCTTATGGCATTGGACTGAAGGGCACCAACGAGCAGAACCGCAAGCTTTGGGGCGAGCCGAAGTCCATCAAGGATATTGCCGATATATTCGTCAAGTACCTCGAGAACGGCGTAGAGAGTCTGCCGTGGAGTGAAGCCCCCATCACGAACGAAGCCGATTCCATCAAGTCTGATCTCATCAATCTCAATAAGCGAGGCATGCTTACGATCAACTCTCAGCCAGCAGTCGATGGTGTGAAGTCATCAGACCCAGTTTACGGATGGGGTCCTAGCAATGGATACGTGTACCAGAAAGCCTACCTTGAGCTTCTGGTCTCACCTACCTTGATGCCTCAGCTCATCTCCCGAATCGAGCTCGATCCTGACCTGACCTACTACGCCGTGAATCGCCTTGGGGAGCTGAAGACCAATGCTCCTAGTGATGGACCCAATGCTGTGACATGGGGCGTCTTTCCCGGCAAGGAAATCGTACAGCCAACTATCGTCGAGGCGATCAGTTTCCTAGCTTGGAAGGACGAGGCCTTCCGCTTGGGGAAGGACTGGGCGCATTGTTATTCTGCATTGAGTCCTAGCCGTCAGCTTATCGACAGTCTGATGGATTCGTGGTATCTGGTCAATATTGGTATTTCTGTCCTCGTCCTCGTTTTGTTGATAAATTAGTTACTGACGTGCTGTAGTGCACAACGACTTCCACCAAACTCATGGCCTCTTCCCGCTCTTCGACGGCATGGAAGTAAAAGATATCGATATTCCCTTCGAACCTTTGCCCGAAACAAAAGGACTTGTCACAGAAACAAACGGCATCAATGGCAGCGCTCCGACTGAAAAGGAAAACATCACTCTCACCAGCGCCCCAACTGAGACGGAGAATGTTACTCTCACAAACGGCTCTGTTGCAAAATAAGGCATACATTTCTTTCAAAACATATCTCTCACGAACGATACCTCAACGACTTACGATTCAACATACACCCTAGACGACCCTCTTTTCTTCTCTTTCTGATTTTCTGGGTTTCTGGCTTTCTTTTCTTCATGCCCGACATCGTATTTGGGTATACTGTCAAGTATCGAGCGTGGTGTTCTGGGGCGTGGAGGGGCAAACTTCAACAAGTTTGGCGTTTTTTAGGCTGGCGATCTCAACGATCAGGCTGGGGTGTGAAAAACATAAAAGTAACGGCTGCATAGGATTTCTGCATGAAACAGATCTGCATTGGTTGGCGCGGGACATCTTCATCAGATGTCACTCATGTTACGGGAAACGGCATCTTCATCAGAGCTTAAAGGGTACATAGCTGCATAGATGCCTTCAACGGCTTGGTAGGCGGGTAGATAAAAAGAAAAGACGAATCCCTGCAGGAACTTTTGTGACCAGAGAAGAGGCGGAGAACATGGATTTCTGAGTGAGTATATGCTATAACGCTCGCTGCTAGGTCATACCTGGGAGGAGTTGGATTTATAAGGAGACGTATCCTTGTTTGTTGACAGAATGACTAAGCGCTCGGTTAAAACCTAGCGACCATTGCCCGGCCGGACACTCTTAATTTTGAGTCTCTCAAACACGAGGGCCGTACCTTTGATCTCCTACTGCCCGTGAGTTTGTAATTTGATAGTCTACTAGTACCTGGGGACATGCAGGGACTCTTGGGAAATTTTCGAGTGAAAGTACCGAGTCCTAGCAACTTACAACACTATACATCTTCTCCATACATGCATTTCATTATAAAGCACAGTTGAATTATCAACTCATCGCTGACTACGGATACTGCTAGTCTATCACCGTCTATCGCTCACTGTGGGCTTCCACGCTATAGCGCGATGGAATCGAGGCGCGCATCCAGCGATGCGAGTTCTCTAGCAGCCACCCATTCCTGCCACTCCCTGGAAGCCGAATCCCACCTCTTCTGCCATTCCCGAAGGCCTTTGCCGGCCTTCCACAACACGCTCTTCTCCTCGATGAGAGTCCTGAGTCTCTCCATGATGGAGGACTTGCGTTCCCGGTCCGGATCCGGTTGATAGCTGAATCCGAGCGACTCGGGCGTCGAGTATCTACCATCTCTATTATCCCTGGCTGTCTCGTTGAAGGCGGTCCGAATCGCACCGATCTGGCCGCGGACCCAGTGCAGGTAGGCCGAGTGGAAGGGAGGCGCCAGTCCCGTGCCCGCGTCCGCGGGAGACTCCGCCCGGAGACACTCGCCGAACAGCTGATCGACGTAGTCTGCGTCGCGCGGGTAGCTCAGGTTGTGGTAGCCGCGCGAGTCTCCGGGGTCGGGCTTCCGTTCCCGGTGGGCCTGCGCCCTGGCCTTCTTCATGGCTGGGACCGAGAGGGTCCAGCGACCTGAGAGATGGCGGGCGATGAGCGCGCTCTGGGCTTCGGCGACGAGGAAGGTGGCGTCCATCTTGAGCAGGCCGACGAGGGCTAGGGTATTAGCCCCCCTGAACGAGGCCGAGGCCTTCGTTGATGGACGCGGCTGCTGGGATGCTGCTGCTGCTGCCGATGGGAAGTGTGGTAGGACCTCGTCCTCTTCCAGGAAGATCATGTGCTCGTATAGATTCACAACGCGTTTCTTGTCTTCCGAGAGGCGGATGCAGGGTATCAGGCTGAAGTCGTAGGTGTAGCCTGTACAGAGCAGTATGATGTCGATTTCGGCAGAGGGATACTCGGCAGACTTGAAGGTGACCAGCTTGCGATTCTTGCTCACCGAGGCGACTTCGGAGACCTGCCGCTGGTTTGTTGAGCTCAGGACAAGTCGATCGTCGGTTCTCGTGGATACGAGCACCTCGCCGTGAGACACTCTCGAGATCTCCCGAGCAGTGTCCCAGTAAGATGGACCGCGTCCAACTATGAGGACTCGCTATATTCTTCATTAGCAGCGGTGAAGGGGCCAAGGGCTTCTCGGAGGGGGAGAGGGTTTTTTTGGCAGACCTTGTTTCGGAACTCTTCAATACCGCGGTAGAATTTCGAGTGCATGACTCTCATGAAATGGTTTGTAGGGATCTTGTACAGCGGCGGGATATCAGGCTGGGCGAACGTCCCCAAAGCCACAACCACAGCGTCCCACCAGGTCGTTTCTGTCGGCATGTATTCGGATTTGTCCGTGGTTTTGCGGTGCTTGGTTCTGCGACCGAAGACCTTCCTACATTCCACTTGCCACTTCTTGTTGTAGTCCTTCTGGCGATGCCTGACCAGGGTCACTTCCTCGCCGTACCGGATGATTCCTCTGTCGTGGAGTTCCCGTGCGTAGCTTTGGAGATACTCCTGCACGACGGTATTCTCTGGAAAGAGCGCCGTGTCCTTGGGATACTCGACGCCTTCGTACTGCATCATGGTCCGCGGGACGTTCGTGCTGCAGGCTGGGTACATGGGCGTGGCGAACTCATCGTCGGCCGCCGTCTGGTACCAGATGCCTCCCGGCGCGGGTGCCCTCTCGAAGATGGTGACCTGGAAGTACTCCTCGTCTGGATGCGACTTGCTTCTCTCTGCAAGGAGGTATCTGCATTGGTTTTTATTTGTGGGTCAGATTGATCCAAGTATGTATGTACGATTGGCAATGAGTGGGTAGGTCTTTAGGCCGTGTTGGAAAGATGGTATACACTTACTTGGCTGCGCATAGCCCCGATACACCAGCGCCAATGACAGCAACTGATGTTGCGTTCTTTCGGGTCCGGATACCTTTGGTCGCCATAGTTAAGATATGGATAAGGGCTAATTCGAATATGGTAAGAGTGGTAAGACTATGTATGTATTGTATGAATAGAGGAAGCGGACACCTGGATTTGACGAAACTATATGTATACACAGAAAGATCGATACCATGTTCATCTTCTGTTGATGGCCTTACAGTAAACTGGTAGGGTTCTAGACTTTTCCACAAGGCTCAAGGCTTTTCGAGCGAACTTTTTCCTAGGTTCTGACTCTCAAGTTGTTTGGAGTCTTGATTAGAGAGCCATTCGTCAGGATGGTCTTGCAGCGCGGGAGACATTGCGAGACTTACAAACGATTCTTTTACATTCATTAAAACCATGCAAAAAGAGTTTCTTTCTTTCAGCTTTCTTCGCTGTATATCCTGGATGGAGGACAGACAAAATACACCAAGCCGGTCAAAGGACATTAATCACTAAGCTCACGAAACCGACAATAAGTAAAAGGAAAAGGAAAAGGAAATGCTAGAAATGTTATCAGTGCACAAACACCCCCCCAAAAAACCCTCGCATCTGAATCGATCTTCAGGCCTATAAATTCATCTCATGCCCCCTTATTTCAGTATGAATTGAGTGAGTGCCTTGATATAAACTAATGCTCGAAACTCGTTGAAAACTACCCCTCTGCCGTGGGACCTCGCGATCTCTAATTACGAATCACGATCTTTTTCTGTCTTTTACTGATGACGAATAGACCAAGAGAGAGGGAGAATGCAATCGAAGTAGATTTATTTTTTATTTTGAAAAAAAAAAAAAAAAAAAAAAAAAAAACAGCTCTGTGACAGCTGGACAGCGTTTGTTTACCCTGTATGTAATATGTACTAGCGAAACGAAAACCCTTTCCAACCCTCTCTCAAATTCCCTACTTCCGACTCTAGGTTTCTCGCCCCCCGCTCGGGGAGATTTTTATTTTTATTTTTAATGTTTTTTCTTTATTGTTTTATTGTTTTATTATTTTTTAGTTCATTTCTCTAAGCAGCTGCTTCAGATGAGCAGACTTTGTGAATAGCTTCTATCAACTGGCGTGTGGGAGAGGGCTTAGCTGTTGTCGAGCTATTCCCCACTTAATAGTTTTTGTCGGAAAAACCTATCATTCAGTTAGGGTTAGGTTTGTAGACTGGAATCTTACAATATCACGCCGTTGATTTGAGCTTCCAGTTGACATTTTTGCAAGTTTCTGGACCGATTTTTGCACATTATTTTTGGAGTGAAAAGGGTTTATTTGTTGTTGTTGTTGTTTTGCCGAGTACTGGCTCGCTCGACGCGT